GCTGCAGACAGGGAAGAGCAGGAGGCTGTAGCAGCAGGCAGGCACCTGATCATGAGGTGGGAGAAGCTTGGAAGGAGTGTTAAAAAATTTAGGCAGTTGTCTAAATTATGACAGTTGTGTGGAGAATGGATTTCAAGGGGATGAGACTGGATGCAGACAAATTAGAAGGCGGATACAGTGGTCAAGATAAATAATGAGATGAATTGAAGAATCTGGAGGTGAAATTGACAAAACTGGATTGGACATGAGGGGTAAGAGAAATGGGAGAGTCAAGGATGACCTTCTAACTTGTAGATGGTGGTGCCACTAAGAGAAAATGAGAATGACGAGGAGGGAAGGAAGAGATGATAATTTCACTTTGGGACATGTTGAACTTGAAGTGCAGATGTCCGGCAGAGTGTTGTATGTATACTTGCATGATGCCCAGAGAGAGGTCTGAGTTACAGATAGCAGACTGAGTAGAGGCGCTTCAGGAAAGCTGGTCCACATGGTACCTGAGGCGGAGTTACAGGAGATAGGGCAGTGAAACAGGCAGGACCCCATCCTTCATCTTTGAGATCTATGCTGCTCTAGGGAGTTCAGACTTCACCTTTTAGGTTGCGGGAGCCACTAAAGGATTTTAAGCAACAGAATAACATGAACAGATCTGGTTTATAGAGATGGCTTTAGTGCACTGTGGAAGATTAACTGGGGAGAGGAGAGGGGAGAGGCAAATAGGCAAATGAAAAGTTATCTGGATAGAGAAGGATAAAATATGATTAGGACCTGACTATATTATGGCAGCAACAAAGTTGTAAGGGAGAAACGGTCAAGTAATACACACAGGGATAATTCACAAATTCAAAAAATACACGTGACAGAATCAAAAATGTAGTCCTACAGGAGTACTTGCAGCCTTCAACCTTCCTCTAGCCTTCTAAGGAGGGATCTTCAGTCTTTGTTTTGAGAGAGTTTTGAGTGAGATCACTCAGCTACCGTGCTGTGAAAAGTAGTCAGTTTTTTGAGGAAATGGGTGAGTGAAGAGGCTTTTAGACCATTTTGCTATGTGTCATACTATATAATCACCCTTTGGTATTTTGGGGTAGACTACAGTAATGATTTACATTACCTTTCCATTTTTTTTCTTATTGGATGGCAAAGATGGAGCTTCAGGTGGGAGCAGGTGCATCAGATTACTTTCACACTAATAGAATCAGTCAGACTTGGTGACCAATCAAATGCAGAAGTTGATAAAAAGGGAAGAGTCCAAGGAGACTCCAACAGTGATGTCAGAAGTCTGGTGAGGTTTACTGACAAAGAGACATAGTGGTCAGGATCACGAAAATGATAGTATGTGCCATTTTGATCACGTGGAGTTTGAGGGACAGTCAAGTACAGAAGCCCAGCAGACAGTCACTCTAGTGTGACATGGAGACTTGAGATTCACTGGCATTTTTATGGGTTTTGGGGGCAATAGAATATAGATGTAATTGTGATTTTTATGGCAATTGAATACATATATATATATGTGTGTGTATATATATAAATGTATGTGGCCAAGGAAAACGAGGAGATCAAGAACAGGACTGTGGGTAACATTCTTATCTAAGGGAAGGTCTGATAAATCAAGACTATCAAAAGAAGCTGAGTAGGCACAACCAGATGTGTGGGAGAAAACCCAGGAAAGCAGGTGTCACAGAGCCCAAGGGAGGAAAGAATTTCAAGACAGAGGGAGTGGTTGTCAGTGTCAGATGTCACAGAGAGGTAAATAAATTAAGGATTAAGTCTCTGGGTTTAGCAATTAGGAGGTGACTGTTACCCTTAACAAAGGCAACATCAGGGGGATGGTGGGGAAGGAATCCTGATAGCAGTGCGAGAGGAGAGAGTGAAGAGAGATGAGGGCAGAATACCCTTTTAAGCAGTTGGTCTGTGAAGGAGAGGGAGGATAGAGAACGGCATCAAAGGAGGGAAATACAGGGAAAAGAGAGGAATTTTTGTTGGGGCGTTTCTGTTTGTTATTTATTTTGAAAATGGTTGCGATTAGAGTATATTTATAAACCAAGGGGTAGGAAGGCAGATAATTTATAGAGATGGATTTTGTAGAAGCGACGTCCCGGAGAAGGGAATAAAGCATAGGATTTAGCGCATGCGCAGAGTTTATTCTTAGACCAGAGCGATGAGGTGGAGGATTCCAGAGACTGAGAGGGTTGGTGGAAGGGTGGGGGTTTACGAAGGGAGTTCATGACAGATGGCAGTGAGGAGATAACAGGGAATGCTGTTCCGAAGTCCATAGTACAAATGAATAATAGGGTATAATTTCCTTCCACAAGCAAGTGGGGGTTTTGAACGCCCACTGTGCCCTGGGCTAGGGGCTTGCTATCATAAGATGAGTAAGGTGCCATGAATCTCAGTCCTCTCTGGTACTCACCTCAAAAACGACTTAGCTTTTGTCCCTGCCTCTCTTTCCACTTATCCTTTCTTCCCATCTCCCTTTCCTTTTTCTTCTGTTTAATTACTCTGCTGTATGTATTTCTCCTCTCTCTACCTGCCCCTTGGGCCCTTCTTCTTTTCCTGTCTTCCTATCTGCACATCCATCTCTCTTGACTTCCTCTGTTCCTCTTCTCTTCCCCTCTCCTTCAAACTAGCCAAAACAACGAAACAAAGTCTGTTTTTAGTTTCCTCTTATTTATTGAATAAACATTTGTTTTCTGTTTAATTTTTTAAAACAAACAAGTTGAAAATTTTATACTTCTGTTTTTAAAACTAAAGGTGTACATGAGTCTTAATTAGCTTTGTTCTGTTGGTTAATGACTCTTCATAAAATAGACCTTCCCCACCTCTGTCAGGGCCTACAGGGGAAGGAAGCAAAAAGTTTCATCTGTAGCAGACACGATGTTTATTTTGCTCACGCTGTTGATTCCATGAGAAAGAGAAGTGATAGTCCAAGGAAAATAATACGTTTTCAAAGTTTGTATGTGTTGTACTAGTAAAGAAAACATAAAGTACAAGAAAAAAACCAGAAAATTCATATTGATGTCCATACATTCAGTGTCACAATTGGAATTCAAATGAGAGGAGAGAATTAAAAAACAAATTTCAGGCCAAAGAAAACTGGTTGCTTCTGGAAATTTCATGCTGTCTGTTGCTAGTCAAGAAAATCAGTGTCCTTTTCATTCCCCTGACCTGGCAACGAACAGACCTGAAGGCTCCATGTGGCCCTGGTAACAGCAGATGACACTTCCACCCTGCTGAAAGGGTGCTACCCAGACACAGACAGTGCTGCGGGTCCGCAGTCTCAGGAGCACACACACAACTGGGTTTGACACCGACTTTGGCTTCTTTAAGGCCACAGGTCTTTAACTGTGTTTCAGCAGAGCCAAACCCTGACCCTGATGATGATTTCTGCCAAGAGTGGATATATAAAAATTACATCCATTGCTAAATTCTGAGTCCAGTCTACCAACAGCCTAAATTGCTGGTCATTACCTTCAGAAATAGCACTCAAGTTTTATGACTTCTAAACAACATCTCCAATTATAAACTTCTTGCTTAAACGTCCTGACATGCCCTTTCTCAAGGAATCTTGAATAAAAAATTTTTAAATTGCTTAATTTTATAAAAGGAAAATTAGGAGTGGAGAGAGGGCCGGCCCCGTGGCTTAGCGGTTAAGTGCACACGCTCCGCTACTGGCAGCCCGGGTTCGGATCCCGGGCGTGCACCGACGCACCGCTTCTCCCGCCATGCTGAGGCCGCGTCCCACATACAGCAACTAGAAGGATCTGCAACTATGACATACAACTATCTGCTGGGGCTTTGGGGGAAAAAAAAAAGGAGGAGGATTGGCAATAGATGTTAGCTCAGAGACGGTCTTCCTCAGCGAAAAGAGGAGGATTAGCATGGATGTTAGCTCAGGGCTGATCTTTCTCACAAAAAAAAAAAAGAAAGAAGAAAAAGGAGTGGAGAGATAAACTCTTTAGAGAGCACCAGGGGATGAAGGTGGGGAGGGACCCCAGGAGAAGTTCAAGTTCAGGTTCCCAGAAATGCCAGCCACATTGAAGGAGCGGGAGCATGCCATTACCCAGGGTTGGGGCATTGAGAGTGCAGTGGGCTTGTATAAGTGATCTTCACAGCTAAAGATGAGGCAAGAGCCAGAAGGAGCAAAAGCAGCCCCTACAAAACTGTAGAGAAGATCAAATTGGTCTTTGCGTTTTCCAGCCTCTGGAACTGTTTCACCGGTGTTCATTCCAGACAGCACTCTATGCCACAAATGAATGCTTCCCGCATGCTCCTCACGGTCTCCTTTCCTCAGTCCTGGGTCGTGCTGTCTTTCACAGAAGAAGGAAAATATCTAATAAAATAATTCATAATAAATTACTAATTGGAGAAAAAAAACTTTATTATATTCTTTTGGTGGTATTTGCATTTTAATGGAGGACCTTAGAAGGCAATGCCTAACCCAGAGAGGACACAGTCTTGGAGAGAATTTCAGCCAGTGTGGCAGGCAATTGGGGAGGTGCTTGGGGGCAGGAAGAGCATGCTCCTGCCCCTACAGACCCTCCCATTGGTGATTATCTACTCACCAAATTTTCTAAAAAATGATCTTTTGCCATGGATACATCAAAATTATTTTGAATTGTTACCTACATTATCCAAAAGGATGTCAAACCTTCTTTTCCTCTCTCTTTCAGCCCACTTCTGACACCTAAACCCTGTACAATCTTAAGAGAATCGAAAGGCAAAAGTAAACAAAGTACTTACTCTTATAGGTGTGACTTCACGGATATATAAAGACATAAAATTGATCCCCTCCCCAGTTTGATCATTCTTGAGAATTGAAACCACCGAGTTTCTGTGCAGTTTACTCTGTCAGTTTGATGGGACCAGAACTCCCTTCACAAAGGGAAGGGCACTCCTTGCATCTAGTTTAAGATGGCTGTCTTTTAAATAAATATTTTTTGCTTGCTAACTTATGTTTTTCTCTCACTTTTCCTCCTTTGCCCTCTCCCACTCACATTTCTCAGGACAAATGTTGCCTTTCACTTCAGTGCCAGCCCCTCTCAACCTCAGGTAAAGTGAAGGGTTCCAAGGTTATCACAATTCTACCTGTTGGTGGTACCCAAAGAAACCATGGTAACAAGTAGAGTCAGCATGTGGGGTTGATCTTTCACAACTGGAGATATGCAACAGCAGGTTTAAACAGATTTATTTAATGTCCTGATAGTTACTGTAAATCTTCTGCAGGGCTGTAATACAGCTTTGGTCATAAATGGCTACTTCATTTTTGCTTTGGATATACTAAAACATATTAACATATGGTATTAACATATTATTTAGATACTGTTGTAAATCTATTACCAACCACTTGTGTGCTAGCGAGTATTTAACAACTGGTTCTCAGAGGAAAAGCCCTGATTTGTAGTGTTTGCCCATTTCTGCGGTGTAAATACCTCAGCCATGGCCAATTTCAAGCTGCCAAAATGATGTCATTGAATGCAGATTTGGGAAGAGATGTGCACCATCAGCTCCCCAAACCTCTATGAGTGAACTCCTGCACACCTTTTAAGAGTTAAACGTCCCTTCAGTGAAAGCCACAGTGCATAGATACTGCCACCCAGTGATGGAAGAGGACTACAGGCCCACAACCCATTGCCCTCAACATTTATTGGCCACTTAATTCATGAAATATTTGAAAGCACTGGTTGCTAGGTGCAATGGGAGATATCTAGAAAGGGAGGAAAAAACTTGCACTCCAACTACAGAAAGAATACAGCCTCATAGTCCTGTGCAGAGCTATCCTAAATATGACATACTGAATGTCATAATGCACTTCCAGTTTGTAGATTGAAAATCAGTGATGATTATATATTATGGCTTCCTTTTCTTTTAAAAAGGTATGTAAATATTAAAGCCTAAGTAGTTTGCCTATAAACCCCAAACTAGAGTAAAATATACATAGAACAAACTAATAAAATCGAAATTCTTTGATATCTACAAAGATTTTACTTTACTATTAACTGTTCCCATTTTGGCCTAAATTTTATATCCTCTTCAACTATAGGAAAGATTTTCTATTTCTATAAACTCACCCAAACTATTGCACATTCTCAGACAACCTTCATCATCACTGTCTGCCTCTATTCTTGTAGACAGAAGCAGGTTACAGAAACTGGGCAGGTCATCAGGACTCAAGATGGCGATTTTTGGCCTAAATTCCAGCCATTCCTCTGGGTACTTGTCATTTGCTACTTTCTCAAAAGAGTAGTTTATCAAGGCAAGGGTCAAAAACATTTTATTTGGAGTTTATGGTAATTTAGAGATACAGAAGGTTGATAAAATTTTGGCATATAGGTAAGGCTTCAGTAGATGTCTGCTGCTTGCACAAAACCAGCTCCTGTAATATATAGGAATGTATATGATGCTCATTACTGCTAACAGTAATCATAGCAATGCTCTTGAGTTACAAAGTTGGGTTCCCTTAAAAAGCAAGAACATCTCTTGGGAATTCCAGAGTCTTCACCTTTGAAAGAGCCGTATATTATACGTATTTGAATCAAACTCCAAAATGAAAATGCAAAATAAAGTGGCTTCTTGAGATTGCTACCATCTGTTACAAGGCGTGAACAGACTTCCAAACAGAAGCATTAATGACACTCCTTAATCTCGAGGTTATTTTTTTCTCCATCAGAAGACTTTGGATTATTGAAAACCATTCTATTTTTATTGCTCTGGTTCTCAGAATAAGGTTAGTTAAGAGGATGTTGGAATGCAAAATTAAGTTTTAACGTGTTTTGCCTCTCCCTTAATGTAATAGATTTATTAGAGTCCTAGGATATTGGGGCTTGTTTTTGTTGGTTTCCTCAAAATCTTAATCACATATTTCATGTCAGGCTTCTCAACCAGCTACCGTATTTATAATTATTGGGCAAAAGTCCCCTTTCTTCATTATTAGCAACATGCTTAACTTAGAGTTAATAAATTTTTCCGGTGGATTCATAATCTAAGCAGGTAAATAGTGTAACCTCTTTCTATTATAAATGTTTCCTGATTCTGATGATATTTGAGATATACTTTTAAAGATATCTTGGCTTGCCCAAAATTGTGCACATATTTCAGGGGGCCAGATGTAGGGCTTGGTGTTCGAATCTAAATGTCGTCTCACTATATTCCATCCGGAAAATAGATTCTTTAGCAAAACATCCCCAGGAAAGGTGGGTCTAGTGCTAATTCTTGCCTATGGGATGATGGTTAAGATTCTTGAAGAGCAAGCTTATCTGTTTTTTAAGATGGATTCATATTTCAAAGTGACGGCACAGAAATAAATCTTGTCTCATGTTACATCCCTCATATCCCTAATTCAAAGGATTGGAGGGATATTCTTAAATAGAAACTGGAATGCAGTGTGGCAAAGTTTAGTTGAGAAAGAAATACCATAGAAAATGAAATGGCAACATTGCATGAAATGGCCACTTGGTCTTGTTCACTGCTCTATTCCTAGGATCTGGCAAAGAGCCCAGCACAGAGCAGTTGCTCAATACGCATGAGATGAATGGCTGACTGAATTAATGGAGTTTTACATCTGAACTGTGTGCCTAATATTAGAGGAAACAATCCTATTCATGTGAAAATAGTTTGACTTTGTAACTCTAAATATTTCTTAATATTAATGAATCATGTCTTTCTTTTTCTTATTCTCAGTATTTTCTATACAAATTTCCTGAAGATGTGGACTCAGTTATCATTAAAGTCTGGTCTGAAATGGCTTATCCATGTTCTGTTGTCTCAGTCCAGAATATCATGGTGAGTCTTAATAACTTGTCATCCTTCCAATATGGACCGTTATATCGTCCCAGGAGAAATCAAAGAGAAGGGTGGGGACCACGTCATCCTCGTACTACGTGTCTCCTGCAAAACTGCTAAATAATAAAAACAATGTCTCATGCACACAAATGGGCAGTCTATATTTGGAGACATTGATTTGGGAAGATAAAGAATAGTTGACTCTTCACCAAAATAAGCAAAGGAAGAAGAGGTGGGAGGGAGGGAGGATCATGACAAAGAACAAGGAAGACCAAGTTGTGGGCTGCACAACATAAATAGAAACCTACTGTTTGTTTTATGTCTTTAAATTTTTATTGTAACATTAGGCCCTTTCTGTTTCATAAGGTGCTAATAAAAAATGGGAAAGGTGTTACATACTTGAAGACAATCTTTTCAGTCCTCTTTGCTATAAAGTGACCTTTATATCAAAGCAACTTTAGAAGACAAGGCACCAAGTTTTAGGAGGACTGTTTGGTGACTGCTCTGGGCAAAACTTTTCATGGCTTCTGGCTTAGTAAAGACCCCCTGCTCTGTGACCCAGGTGGTGTGTGTGGTATGTGTAGTGTGACATCAGTGATGCCCTCTTTTTTATCCCTCATGCACGTTACAGTGCCCAGTGTATGATCTTGACGACAATGTGGAATTTAATGGTGTCTATCAGTCCATGACCAAGAAAGCTGCCATCACCCTACAGGTGAGACGTCGCTTCTGTGGTCACTGCTGTCAATGTCAATGCACAGTTTACAGTCAGGGTACCACTAGAACAGCATCCAAAAGGGATTGTCATTCACTGTGTGCCTTGAATCTTTTGCCTTTCTGATTGGTTTTAAAACAAAGATAGCTACTCTTGAAACCAAAGCCTGGGCAATGGTGGACAATGCTACTCTACCAGGTGCCCCATTCCCCTTGGGGAATCTTGGGAACCCATGATGCAGTGGGACATGGATCTGACAGATTGCTTAGAGAGGTAAGGTAAGATTCCAATCTACTCATTGGGGGATGCCAATTTAGGGTAAACTTTATCCGATCCATTTATAGCTATTAAACATATTCTAATAATTTGTACCAGTAACAGTAACCAAAAAAAGGCCTTCAACTCTGGACAGAATGGATAGGTTCAGAGGAATATGGACCACACTGGGGCAGCAGTTTGCCCTTTTGGCATTTGTAATTAAATTATTATTTCAATGGTAATTTTATAGCAAAAATGTACACATATCATGTCAGTAAATGTTCAAAGAGATTCTGTCCCCGCCTTTGGGGTGGTACTTACTTGAGGTACCTACAACTCGATCTGTTCTTAGGGTAAGGTGATACTGTTATTGGATAACAAGCAAAGAAGGAGGAAAGGTTCATTATAATGTAGGTGTCAAATCTAAAACCCTCTATCAGTCAGGCTTTAATCTTCTAGTGCCTCAGATTTGATATCCCAAAGATCTGCTCTTATTCCTTCTTGGGTAAGGAAACTGGACACACAGAAGCACACACAGAGAAGGTCAAAGTCAGGCCTGTAACTCAGGTCTCCTGACTTGAGTCTTTGCCTCCTTAACCTAAATTAGTTATTTAACTGCTGACTGTGTGACTGTTAGGAAAGTCATTTATCATTAGATTTTCGAATAATAAAAACTTAATATAGTAAACTTAAAACTGCTCTAAAAATAAAGTTTATTAATTAAAAAAACTTAATATACAAGTATTAATTACTAAACATAGGCTGTTGACATATTCTTTACATGGGGCCTATTACAGTCCTAAGCACTCAAATGGGCACAAGATACATTAAAATTAGAATAGTGTACCTATTTACTTTAATTTCTTCTATGTAACAGTTATTTTATTGTGGATAATCTGGAGTAGATCACGGATATGTGAAAGTCCTCTCTAAGAAATTAAGGGGCAGGAGTGAAATTTACTTTTCTTCTCTTTCCTGTTTCTTTCTGGCCCCACCCCCACTGCCACGGACTTTCTCCCTTTTTTCTATCTTTCTTGCCTGCTTATCATAAGATTGTTATGTCTTATGCAGAAGAAGGATTTTCCAGGTGAGCAGTTCTTCGTGGTATTTGTGATAAAGCCTGAAGATTATGCCTGTGGAGGATCTTTCTTCATCCAGGGTAAGAGATAGTGAGGAATACTTGGATACTGAGAAAGACCTACTGGAATGGAAAGGAAGCCAAAAGGTCACATTGGCCCCTTATGAACATCTCCAGTACCCACTAAGGGAGGGTCATTAGCAGTGACTTGCAAGGCAGTCTGAGAGATACTTGAGAACAAAATAAGGGGAAGAAAATGATAGATCTAAAGATATTGGTACTACAAAATGTCATTTAGTGCATTGCATCTTTTCAAAGTCTTATGCTCCCTCAGACCATGTGGGGTATATTTACTCTGTTGGCCTTTTACTCAACAAATATTTGCTACTATGAGGTAATTATTTTACACAGCAGATCATATTCTAAGATCAGTTTGGTAGCCAGCAATAATGAAGCCACTTATACTTATCAGTTGGTCATCGTTTCCACAAGGATGTACAAGGAAAATTCAGAGTTCTCAATTCCAGTTCCCAAAATTATATGTTGCAAGATCGTAAGAAAGCAAAGTGGGACAACTTATCCCAATGATAGGGGTTGTGTGAACTCCTAGGCATAATACAAATGGTTGTGGGTAACTACCCAGTAACTACCTTGGGAATACCCAGCAGCTGATGAGCCATATGTGATCAACAGAGAAGGGAATCAAGAAGTGTAACATGGTTCCCTTGGTATTTAGGTAAAATTTCTGCTTGTGTGTTCTTTAACCTCTTAATTACATAGCTCCAGTTTTGCTATGTAATGTCAGGTGTTCTTTGGTAAACTACGAGTCCTTTGATGACTATACAAGAAGAAACAAACTCTCACTGGCTAGAAAAATGCAAACCAAAAGACGAGGTAGCTTTCTATTTTTGCAGCTGTTTTCTTCCAGTGTCTGTGACTTGTTGAGCCATGTGGATATCAGAGGAAGGGTCAAGCCTTCTTCATTTAAGGGAGGCTGCAGTCTCATTGGTGTCAGCTAGTGCTACCAAAAAGCACCCAAGCAAAGGCCAGATTGAAAGTTTAACCAAAAGGGGTATTAGATGGTTTGAAGGTTTGGGGGTCAGGGTTTCCTCTAGTTTTTGCTAAAAGAAAATTCAGCAACCAGAGTTAATTCTGGACAGTTTTCGAACAAATGTTCAGATGAGCGGCCAAGAACCAAGTATCTGATCCATTGTGCCTTGTTCTTTTTTATCAGAAAAGGAGAACCAGACCTGGAATCTACAACGAACAAAGAACCTTCAAGTGACCATTGTTCCTTCCATTAAAAGTGAGTATTAGCTCTCAGATTTGGTGGAGAGATTCCTATGTCAGGAAGTTGATCATATAACTCAATGCTAATGTCATCCTTCCAGAGAAACATCATAAGAAAACTAATGTTGACCTTAGAGATAGAAGAGAGAATCAAAGCATTTCGTTAAATCCCTTCCAGAAAGACAGGGAACTCAATTATGAAGTTGTATACAGGAGGTCCTTCCCAGCTTCCGCTGGGAAGTCCTCACTGTGAAAGGCAGCCATTTGTGGATACTGTCTGGCTGACCTCCCATATCTTTGCTGCTTTGAGTGGAAATATCTTAGAGGACTTAAGAATGGGTGTGATGGAGATGGGCCCTTGAAGCTGTCTTGTCCCAACATAGTCCTCTTTTCTCCTGAGCACATCCTAACCAAAGTTGTTTCTCTTCCCTCAGAATCCATGTATGTGAAATTCAGTCTTCTCACTTTCTTCACCTTCTTGTCCTTCTACGTGGGATGCCTGCTTGTTGCGTGCGTTCATTATATCAGGTGGGTCAAGAGTTGCAAGAAATGTTCATCCTCTTTGCCTGTCTCTGCTTAGCGATCAGAGCATTAGGCCTTAGAGCCGTATTGACTGGACTCAAATCTACCTCAGCCACTAACTGTGTGACCTTGGGAAAGTTACTTAACTTCTCTGTGCTCCAGCTTCCCCATCTGCAAAATGAGATAATAATTTACTTCATAGAATAATATAACTGCAATGTTTACATCAATGTCCTGCACAGAGTAAGTGCTGGTAGAGGGTTATTTATTTTCATGGTTAATTAAACCTCAGCAGAAAGACAGCTGAGGTATATTTTAGACCAGAAAATACTCACAAAGAATCCTATGGAATGTAGGAAATGAAGAGTTCTTCCTCACATGGAGAGTTAGAAACAGCTTTAAACATTCCATCAAAAAGTAAAATTAATGCCTAAAATAAATCTTGAGGTGTAATAAACAGCAGGGGTAATAGACCAGGTGCTTTCTTACTGTTGCAGCATCAATTTTCCAGTAAAATGTCCCTTCAGAGAAAAAACAGAAATAATCATGCTGTAATTTGACCAAGGAAATTTCCCTTCCCAAGAGTTTGGAGCCCCTAATAAAAAGAGGTCCGGTCTTTCTAGCAGGCAGGAACCTTGAGAATGCCGTACTTTGCTGTGGTCTCTGTGAAACAACTACAAAAGGCAAGAGGTTTACAGTCTGTAAGGAACATGTAAAGAAAACAAACCAGCATGAAGTTTTCAGACTGTTGCGCAAGATTAACCTCATCTGTAGAAAAACTTCAGGGCTACACCAGGAATCCAAGTATGTCAGAGATACAGGACTATCTCGGACAAAAAATAACCCCCTTCTGTGACCTTTATGAAGCTTTACGGTTGAGAAACTGACTTCAAAGACCTCAGGACTACCACTGGCCATATCTGGGACAATCTGAGGACCAGAGTAATCAAGGAGAATAACGAATTCTAAACCATTGAGAAAAATAGAAATTCATAAATCCATATCAATAAAGGAAGGAACGAAGGAAGGAAGGAAGGATGGACCTAAATACCTCCAGATATACATCCAGTGAATTCAGCAAAGTTACTAAAAGAGGTACACATTCGAGAAAGGAGCCCTTAGCAAATACTGATGGCAGAAGTGAGGACGCTAGCCTACAGCAGAACGCCAAAAGCTGACTGTCAATATAGAGGGAATGCTGGAATGGAAAAGCATCACTACGCATAGATCAGGTTAACAATCATCAACGGACACTAAAACTAGGAGGAAAATCTGATGAAGATCAAGATATTTGCATGGATGAAAGTGTATCCCCACAAATTGCTAAATAGTTGTCAGGGAAAAAATAGCAACTATACAGTGGAGAAATCAGACAAGATTGACTGGGTGATCAAAATTAATATGATGGAGGGGGAGATGGACATTGTGTGCCTCCAGATGTGACACTCTGAGAAGGACACCACATCATGTATGCAGTATTCCAGCCAGAAAGTCATATTTTTAATAAAATCATAAGAAAAAATTAGACACCTCAAAATGACATTCTATTAAAATGTGGAAAAAGACAAAGGCTGTGGAAATGTTCCACATTGAAGGAGACTAAAGAGATATGACAACTAAAGACAATACCTGATCTCAGACTAGATCTTTTACCAGAAGAAAAATATGCTATAAAGGATATTATTGGGTCAGTTGCAAAATTGTAATACAAGTAGTAGATTAGCTAAGAGTATCACATTGATGTTAAGTTTGCTGAATTTGACAGCTATACTGTGGCTATGTAAGAGAACACCTTTATTATTTGGAAATATTTAGGCATGAAAGTACATGACATACGCAACTTGCTTTCAAATGATTCAGAAAGAAATTTTTATATATACACACACATATAGACAGATAGAGAATGATAAAGCAAATGGGGTAATATTGCTAACAATAAGTGAATCCAGGTAAAGAGTATATAGGTGTTCTATTTTCTATTCTTATTCTTACAACTTCTCTGTAAATTTGAAGTTACCGTAGTCCCCCCTTATCTGTGGTTTCACTTTCCATGGTTTCAGTTACCCGCAGTCAACCATGGTCCAAAAATACAGTACAGTAAGATATTTTGAGAGAGAGAGAAAGAAACCACATTCACATAACTTTTATTACCGTATATTGTTATAATTGTTCTATTTACTATTATTTATTGTTGTTAATCTCTTACTGTGCCTAATTTATTTCAACTTTATCATAGATATGTACCTATAGGAAATTACATAGTATATATAGGGTTCAGTATGATCCGTGGTTTCAGGCATCCAATGGGGGTCTTGGAATGCATCCCCCGCAGATAAGGGGGGACTACTATATTTTCAAATAAAAAGTTAAAAATAAAAACCCGAGTCTATAGGCAAATATTATACCTGGAAAGTATATGCATTAACTGATTATCGGTTCAATTAGTTTATCAGATCATATTCACGTATAAAAGTATCTGCTCTGCGCCAGGCTCTGTGCTGAGCCTTCTAAGCAGATTGTCTCAGCTAATGCCCCACAACCGTGGGTACTGGTATCATCACCATTTGACGGTTAGGGGAATTGAGGCATAGAGAGAGTAAGCAATTTGACCGAGAATTCACAGCCAGTAAATAAAGGAGCTGGGATTTGAACCCAGGCAGCCTGGCTCCAGAGCCTTAGCTGTTAAGCAGGCTGGTCAAGATGAGTCTGGAGTGGTCAAGGCATGTGAGGGAAGGCTGTCCTGATCAGGGATGCCAGTCCAAAAGCCCGGCACCCCAACAGGGATTTGCTTGAAAAAGGGTCCAGAAAGCTCCCAATTTTGACTTGGATGAATTCCACCATCATGGAAAAAGTTCATCTCTTCTGCCTCTCTTAGGAAGACTATCTCTACTCCTGATGCTTTAGATTTTAGAAAATAGGATTTTACCTCTCTAATTAGCTAGCATGCATAATCAACAGACAGACAGACGAAAAATCGAATTAAAGCTGGATATCAATCTCTCTAAAGTTGTTATTCAGCCTACTGAAGCGAGCAGTTTTTAAAAGTTGTGGTATAAGGTCTGTTGAAATCACTCACCGCCAGATTATTTTGCTCCAGTCAATAGCACAAGCACAGATTCCGTCCAAATATAGACAAACTGAAAATAGGAACCTGGAGACATAAGAACTATTTGGCATTCTAAATAGGGGAATAGACTGAGGAAAAATGCCAACAGAACTCTTCCTTCATTGAACAAGCAGAAATAACAAAGTTTTCTCCAAAACCAAATGAAGCCAGACCTGGAGAATAATGCCATTTTGCTTGATGAGTCCCCTGCACCTAATATTAATACATGTGGGGCTTGCAGTACATGCTTTGAGATCAGGATGAAGCATCGATAGAGACATGGCCCCTGCCCCCAGCAAGCTAAGAATCCAACGTGTCTTTGTGCTGTATTGGCTTGAACCTAAACATCATCCCCTCCCATGCCCAGCTCCAATCCATTCAACAAGTATTTAGGGAACCCCCACAATGAACGCACAGGCCCTGGACCAATCACTGCCCGCATGTTCTCTTATTCCTTCCTCTCAACAACACTGCTAGGCACCGAGTTCAAACTTGTATTAGTTACCTATTACCACAATACTGCTGCATAAAAATTGACCATAAAAACTCCAATGGCATACGGCAATAAATATTTAAGTTTGCTCACAGATCTATGGATCAGCTGGATGATTCTGCTAATCTGGACTGGGCTCAGAGATCTCAGCTGAGTGTGGTCACAGAATGCAATCAGCTGGCAGGTCAACCAAGAGCTGGCTCTTCTAGACTGGCCTCAGCTGCACTTGCTCTCTCATGCTCCAGCAGGCTAGTCTTGGTTTATTGTATCTCTAAGAGAGACAGAAGAAGAGTGCGAGGTCTCCTTAAGTCTTAAGACGTTCAGAAGTGGCACAATATCACTTACCCCTCATTCTATTGGCCAAAACAAGTCACGAAGCCAGTCCAGATTCAAGGCACAGACTCCACCTTTTGATTAAAGGAGCTGGATACAAGACGAGGTGTAACCATTTTGCAATCAATCTGGCATAGTGCTCATTCACTGTTTTTCCTTTGTTCACTGGATACTGCCTGCCTCACCGAGCTTTGTAAATCATTTAACTCCTCTAATGAAGAATTTTATCAGCTCCAAAACCTAGGGCAAATGTGAGTAAAGCCTGCTAATCAAACACACAATCCAAACACATCATCTTTTATGAGTCCATATAATTGCTTTCCAGTTAATATCACTAAAATTGTTTATAAAAAGGACTTCACTAGAGCCTCATTTGCCAGCTAGAACAGTCAGGCCAAATTCTAACTGCTTCTTTAATGATATACCTTGTTCAATTGACAAATATTTAGTTATCATTTCCTATGCAGCAGGCCCTGTCCTACTGGTTAGGGAGACAGTGGTGAACAAGACAGTCTGGATCCCTGCTCTAATACAGCTTACACTGTGCAGAGAAGAAACATATAAGTAAGCAAGCAATTAATAAAGAAAACAATTTCAGCTAGTGACAGGAGGAGAATAAACACAGCAGTGTGATAGAGAATGATTGGATTGGAGAAGCTACTTTAGATTTTATTTGTTCAGCAGGGAAGACCTCTCAGAACCAAGACCTAAATGGCAAGAAGGAGCCGCCGTGTGAGGATCTGGGGAGAGAGTGGCCCAGGCAGAGAACAAGAGCATAAGTCCTCAGGCAGGGATGAGTTTGTGTATCTAGGAACAAAAGAGGTATGAAGAGGGGCCGGCCCCATGGCTTAGAGGTTAAGTGCACACGCTCCGCTGCTGGCGGCCCGGGTTCGGATCCCGGGCGTGCACCGACGCACCGCGTCTCTGGCCATGCTGAGGCTGCGTCCCACATACAGCAACTAGAAGGCTGTGCAACTGTGACATACAACTATCTACTGGGGCTTTGGGGGAAAAAAATAAATAAATAAATAATTAAAAAAAAAAAAAAGAGGTATGAAGAGAAGTTCCTCCACCAAACATACTGGGATCAGGAGTGTGCAACTTCTAGAGTCCCCATCTGGAAGTAAGTGAGAGCATGCACCAAAGAACAAGCACATCTGGACCCAACTTTCCTCTCGCTTCCCCACTCCGCCAGCCTCACACCCAAAAGGGAAGCTCATTTGGGGGGAAGAAAGTAATTCACATTGTAATTTTTGATAGACATTTCCAAATAGTATATCTTGTTTTTTAAATAATAGCTTTATTGAGATATAATTCACAGACCATAAAATTCACACTTTTAAAGTATATAATTCAGTAGTTTTTAGTATATTCACAGTTGCACAACCATCACCACTATCTAATTGTCATCACCTCCAAAAGGAAATCCTGAGTTCACCTAGGTTACAGGATACAAGACCAATATACAAAAATCAGTTGTATTTCTATATGCTAGCAATGAACAATCCAGACATGAAATTAAGAAGACAATTCCATTTATAATAACATCAAAAATAATAAAATACTTAAGAATAAATTTAACAAATTAAATATAAGGCTTACACATTGAAAATTACAAAACATCCTTGAAAGAAATTAAAGAGGACCTAAATAAATGGAAAGATATTCTGTGGTCATGGATTAAAAGACTTAATATTGTTAAGATGGTGTTGTAGACAGAATAATGGCCCCAAAAAGAGGTCCACGTCCTAATATCAAGAAACAGTGACTATATTACTTTACATGGCAAAAGAGATTTTGAAGATGTGATAAAATTATGGAGATTATCCTGGATTATCCATGTAGGTGTAATGTAATCACAAGGGTCCCTACAAGAGGGAAGCAAGAGGGTCAAAGGCAGAAGGAGGAAATGTAACGATGGAAGCCAAGGTTGGAGCGATGTACTTGGAAGATGGAGGAAGGAGCCATGAGTCAAGGAATGCAGGCCAGGCCACCTCTAGAAGCTGGAAAAGGCAAGGAAATGGATACTCCCCTGGAGCCTCCAGAAGGAATACAGCCCTACTCATACCTTGATTTTAGCCACATAAGACTCATTTTGGAATTCTGACATCCAGAACTGTAAAGATAATAAATTTGTATTATTTTAAACTACTAAGTTTGTGATAAAATGTTACAGCAGCAATAGACACTAAAATACATGGCAGTACTCCCCAAATTGATCTACAGACTCAACACAATCCATATCAAAGTCCCAGCTGACTTTCTTATAGAAATTGACAAACTGATCCTAAAATTCTTACGGAAATGCAAGGGACTCAGAATGGTAAAACAATCATGAAAAAAAAAAACAGCAAAGCTGGAGGTCTTACACTTCCTGATATCAAAACTTACTACAAAGTTACAGTAATCAAAACTCTGGCACTGACATGAGGAAAGACATATAGATCAACAGAATAGAATTGAGAGTTCAGAAATAAATCCTTACGTTTATGATCAATCGATTTTTGACAAGGGTACCAAGACAATTCAATGGAGAAAGGATATTCTTCTCAACAAATAGTGTTGAGACAACTAGGTAGCCACATGAAAAAGAATGAAGTTGTACCCCTACTTCACACCATATACAAAAATTAACTAAAAATAGCTTAAAGATCTAAATGTAAAAGCTAAATATACAAAACTCTTAGATGAAAACATAGGTGTAAATCTTTGTGATCTTGGGTTAAGGCAATAGTTTCTTAGATATGACACCAAAAGCATATGTAACAAAAGAAAAAATAGATAAATTGGACTTCATCAAAATGAAAACTTTTGTATTTCAAAGAACATTATCAAGAAGTGAGAATACAATACACAAAATTGGAGAAAATGTTTGCAAGTCATATATCTGATGAGAGTCTAGTATCCACACTATATAAACAATTCTTACAATCAATGATAAAAAGAAAAATAACCCCATTTAAAAATGGGTAAAGAGTTTGAATAGACATTTCTCCAAAGAAGATATCCAAATGGTCAACAAGCATATGAAAAGATATTTAACATCATTAGCCACCAGGGAAATGCAAATCAAAACTACAATGAGAAAGTACTTTATATCCACTAGGATGGCTATAAAAAAAAATTTTTAATGGAGAAAGAGTTGGTACGGATGTGAAGAAATTGGAACCTTCTACATTGCTAGTGGGCATGTAAAATAGTTCCTGCTATGAAGCTGCTGTGGAAACCAGTTTGAAAAAAACAGTTAAACATATAGTTACCTCATACCCAGCACTTCCATTCCTAGGTCTATACTCAAGAAAATTTAATACATATGTCCGCATAAAAATTTGTATACAGATGTTCATAGCAATGTTATTCATGATAGCCAAAAAGTGGAAACAACCAAAATGTCCATCAAGTGTAAACAGATAAATTAAACATGGTCTATCCATACAGTGGAATATTATTCAGCCATAAAAAGACTGAAGTATTGATTCATTTACCACAAAGGTGAACCTTGAAAGCATTATGCTAAGTGAAAGAAGCCAGTCAAAAAAGACCACATATAGTATGATTCCATTTACATGAAATGCTCAGAATAGGCAAATTTATAGAGACAGAAAGTAGATTAGTGGTTGTCAGGGGCTAGGAGGAGTGAGGAATGGGGAGTAACTGCTAATGGGTTTGAGATTCTTTGGGGGATGCTGAAAATGTTCTGAAATTAGATAATAGTGATGGTTTCACAACTTTTTGAACACAATAAAACTCATTCAATTGTGCACATTAAAGGGTAAATATTATGGTATGTGAATTATCTGAAACTAAAAAAATGAATTTACGTATGCAGGTATATGCCTAGGAGTGGAATTGCTGGTCATATGGTAACTCTATGTTTAACTTTTTGAGGAACTGCTGAACTGTTTTCCAAAGTGGCTGCACCATTTTACAATCCCACCAGTGTATCAGAGTTTCAATTTCTCCACATCCAAAGGCCCATTTTTAAGGATCCTAGCAGACAAATCTTGAACAAAGTCTAGAGGGAACAAGTGTAAAGTGCTGAGGTTTTCGCTGCCTTAGGAGCGTGTGTATGTGCTTGTTTGCAGGTTTCAGAGAAAATCCATTGGTGGAGGCTTTGGTTCCAATGATGGTAAGAAAAATCCCTGGTTTCAATACAAAATGATGTCGAGTATGTGGTAACATCCCATTAGGTACCTCTTTGTCCCTTTGCCTTTTGTAATCTCCAGACTCTCCCTTGATTCCTATCCCATGGAGTAGTCTAATCTACAGTCTTTCTACAGAAAGCAGAGCTAGTGAGAACCAATTTTTATAGTTGATAATTACTGAGATATGGAGCTCACACTAAGAACCTGTGCTTGGGGCGTCCATTTCTCAGCCATTCATCTTTTTAAAAAGTTTAATCTTTTCTAGGACATAAATTGTTCATACCTATCTTATCCCAAAGCTAATTTGTGAACAATAATAAAAATTTGCTGTGTCAACTCTAATACAGAGGTTTTTACTTTTCCCAAATTGAGATAGAGGCTTTTTTGTTCAAGAATCTAGAAAACTGAAATATTTGAGAAATACTTTGGAAATCCAGAGTAATTGATTACCCAGCCATTGTAATGTGCCCTTTCCTCCACTGTGAGAATTCGAACAAAGGAATTCAATTGCCTGATCTTTTTATCAAAATTTAAAATAAAATTAAATGTCCTCATTTTTTTAAATTGAGATATAATTGATATATAACATTGTATAAGTTTCAGGTGTACAACATAATAATTTGATATTTGTATATACAGTCACGCGTCACTTAACGATGGGATATGTTCTAAGAAATGTGTCATTAGGCGTTAGAGTGTACTTACACAAACCTAAATGGTGTAACCCACTACACACCTAGGCTGTACAGTACTAATCTTAGGACCACTGTCATAGATGCAGTCTATCATTGACCAAAATGTGGTTATGCGGCGCATGACTACATTGCAAAATGTGCACCACACTTAGTCTAGTTAACATCCATCATCACATATAGTTACAAATTCTTTTTAATTGTGATGAGAACTTTTAAGATCTACTCTGTTAGCAACTTCCATATATACAATACAATATTATCAACTGTAGTCACCATGCTGTACATTACATCCTCAGGACTTATTTACTTTACAACTGGAAGTTTGTACCTTTTGTAAATGTCCTCATTTATGAAAAGTCTAAATCAACTCAGTGCTCATAAGCTATTCGGCATAGAGTGATCATTTGGAGAAGGAATGATGAAGTGAGACTTGATTTTTAATTTACATGTAAGCAAATGTTTAGTTCTGTGTTTTCTACACTTAAATGAGCCCACAGAATCTTAGAAAGACATAAATTGACGCCATACCCCACCCAGCAAGAACGTTTCTCCTTCTGCTGGAGGCTGCTTCTCCTGCCTTCCTTTGATTTCTGTCTCCTTAACATCAGCATGGCTATTTTTCCAGCCACGCCAGGCAATTTGTTTTAATAACATTCAACTGACAATGTAAAAGACTGTGAAAGGACACCTGCTCTAGTGTCTGAAATGCTAAGTACTACTTTCCCCTTTATTCATCAGATGTTTAAATGAGTTTGTCTTCTCTCTGGATCTCATCCTTTTCCTGCAGTGATCTCCAGGTTTTGCTCTTACTTTAGGCCTAGTTGAACTTAGGAAGCCTGACTGGTTGGATCCCATTGGTGGTCTGTGAATGGGTGGTCTGCTATTTTTATTGTATGAGTGAAGTTATTTTATTATTGTAATGATAATTAAAGGAATTCCATGTTCAGAAGGGTCCCCTGAACAGTGAAGCATAGGTGGACAGAGCTGAGACTTGAGCCAGATCATTGTCTAAGATCAAGAAGGCTCTGAAAATTAGTTGAGAACTAGAGGCACCCTTCAGATGGCAAGCAGAAATGAATGAGTGACCCCACCCCCCAAAAAAAGAATAAAGAAGCATCAATTAGGATTCATGTGGCTGCAAGTAACAACAAAATATATCTCAAACACACTTAAATGATAAGGAGGCTCCCCTCCCTGGAAGTTGAGCAGAAGGCTGGATTTCAGACTGACTGAGTCCAATGGCTCTGGTCCTTTTCCCTGCAGTTCCCTTGCCTCTGCTTTGCTCCCAGTGCCCATGGTGAGATGGCTCAGGTTTACACCCTCACCTGACAATGTCCGAAGGGAAGGACTTTTTCAGAAGCACCCAGCAATTTCTCATGTTTCATTGGCCTAGAGTGGATCATATACTCACTGTTCAACTAGTATCTGCAAAGGAATAGATTTACCTGCAGATCAAGTCTACTTATAGAATTAGAGTGAGGTCATCTTTCTCTAAGACCAGGGTTTCTCAGATTCAACTCATTATTGACATTACAGGCCAGATAATTGTCGTTGGGAGCTGCCCTGTACGTTGTAGGATGTTTAACCGCGTCCTTCACCTCTGTCTACAAGAATCCAGTAGTACACTCCCTCCTTATGACAACTAGAAATGTTTCCAGACTTGCCAAGTGTCCTCTTGGGGGCAAAAACGGTCCCCCACCCCTACCCCCAACTGAGAATCACTGATTTAAATACATAGGCTGCCAGGCACAGGTGAGGACACCTGAACAAAATCCCAGCTGAGTTAGGAAGTAGGGACTAGGAATGTTCACCACAAAGGGCTTTGAAATAGGGAGGACCTAAGGAACCTTTGTAATGCAGAGAGGATTCAGGGAAAGAAGGCACATGACCACTAGTGTGACAAGACCTAGATGCTTAAGACGAGAGCAGAGAAGACAAGCTCTACTCTAGGGAAGAACCAGTTAGTGGCTCTGCTAAGCATATCAAACACAGCACTGGGACACCAGCCTGGAACAAGAGGCAGAAGCAAGTGAGGGACCTTATCTGAAAGCTAATGTGAGTGAGACATTCAGGGAGAGGAGCAAGGATACAGAAATGTCTTTCTCTCCCAAGGGCCAGGATCAGTATGGCTGTGGGGCTACAGGAATTTCAGTGGAGCTCAGAGCTACAGGAAATGTCCTGGGGGCTGGTGCCCAGAGAAAGTGCTAGGGCAGTGTCTGAAAGCGGAAGGGGATCCCACTAGACTTGGCATGGTAACTTCCCAAATCAATGTGGAGCTAGACATCTGAGGAACTTGGCCTAAGTTCAGGTTCACCTTAGATGTGTTTGAGGTGGAGGAAATGCAGCAGGGTCCCTGTAAGTTGCCAAATTGGTGGCAGCTCTGTATTAGTTACAACAGTTACGTAATGACAGGAAGACTGCATTTGGAAAATCTGTTGGCTCCTCTGCATTTGTTTTTCTTTGATTTGCCTGCAGTTCTTTAAGTTATATTTGAAAAATGTTGACATTGGCTCCTACTATACTAAAAAGCAAAGGCATCTCTTTCATACTTTGTAGGATAAAGAAGGAGATAAGACTCTGAAGTCCAGGGGACGTGGAAATAGTGTTGGTGAAGAGCTGCTTCAGGCCGTGAAGGGACTTATTACTGTGATATGAATGGACGGACACTGTAGTCTCCATTCATCACTTAGTACTGAAGACAGGGGCCTCTGCGGGAATCTGAGGGGGACTAGTAAAGGCTCTGTGCTCTAAAAATGTTTCCTCCAGTCGCTCTATCAGTGGAGAACCCCCGCATTTCACATTATTGTTAAAGAGCCTGCACAGAAATTCAGTTACCAACTGGAAAGAGATGAATGAAGCACGCCTCACGGGCATCCAGGAGCACATGAGCTGTCACCATGAACCTGGGTGCAGCATAAGGGAAGGTTATTTTCTCAAGTGAGAGGGCTTGACAAACCTGACAAGTATGTAGATTTAAGAACCAAATGGCCAATCAAATCCTTCCCTGCATAGAGCCGTTACTGAATTAGCCTCTTAGCGCAGAGCAGAGACTGGAGCGTTAAGATTGGAGGAGTCACGGAGCACAGGCCAACATCAGGCTTGGTGGCAAGGGGTCTCAGCCTCCAGTCCTGACTCTCCACTCTTCTTTTTCCCAATTTCCTTGGCTTTTCTTGCCCAGCTTTTTCTTCTAGAGAAATTTTACTTTTACATCCCCCTGCAAAGATTAGTAGTCTTCTTCATTTTCTCCTCAACTTTTGAAACAAAACATGAAACTGGTTGGGATAGGTAGCCAATTGGCATACAAATGAAATTTCATGGCAGCGAGTTCACATCACTTCTGACTCCCTCTTAGGCTTCCAGCCTCCTGAGGCCAGAGACAGAAGGGGGCAGGACAACTATAAATACGAAAGATCCAAACATGCTCAAAACGAAATGAAGTTTTTCTCCTTACACAGAGCATCTAACATAAAAAGCAAGCATGGAAGCATGTCCTATTCTATGTTAGTAAAGTAGACAGATGGCAAAGGCCTTGTGCTCAGAGAACAACACACCAGAACAAGTTTCCTCATTAAGATGAGCTCATTCACAACCGTATATGTTTGCTTCTTCCCGGCCAGAACAGCTTGGTCTGTCCTATAAACTATTTTGCGTTTAATTCTGCTTTCTTTCTTTTTTTTTTTTTTTAAGAACATAAATAAAATATGCTGAATTTATTTTACTTAACAGTGAAGACTAATATAAAGTGTAGTATTGGTACACACATTGTGATAAAGCAGAGATGTGGAAAAGGCTATTTTAACCAATCCATACATTTGAAGCAGCTATAGGTAATCATTTCAAAATTGAAAATTACAGTCAATCAGATTAATGGTCCAATATCTGTAAAATGTACTGCTGAAATTTTAATAACACAAAAGATCAAAAAGCATGACCCTCTAAAATCTCATTTGAAAAAAAATTTATTAAAAATTTACTCCATTTTATAACATGCTTTAATGAAAGTTAATGGCTTATGTATTTTATATTGCAGTATTTTTTTAATAGTTCTTGAAAAATAGGATAAAAATTATAATACTTGTATTTTCTGTGTTTCGTGCATTACCGTGTATTTACTTAGAGTTTTAACTTTTCTAATTTGATAGTTTATACAGTTTTGTTTAGTATAATGACATTCTACTTTTCAGCAAGAACTCTCCATATATTTTATCCAAATTTTAGTTGGAGATGTTAGAAAATATATTAGCTTTCATTAATAGCTCATACTTCTGTGGTATTTCAATGGTTAAAAAATACAGAAGTGAACATGAGAAAATTGGATGCCATTATGGTTTGTTTTTATTTTTCATTTTTTTTATTTTTTTTTCTTTTTCTTTTTTTTTTTATTTTTAATTTTCTGCTTTCTAAATACCACACAATTAAATACAAGTATGGCTCACCTTCCAGGAGCATGGATCATACTTGAAGTTTGGCAGAAAATGCTTTAGTTTTTGCGTTCTAAGAAGGCTTTCGATTAGGCAAATTAACCGAATACTGTTATCCCATGTTGGCCAGTCTTATATTTAAATTGTGCACATAAAAGTCCACAGAGTTAAAACATCTTTATGTGCTAGCAATTGCGCTGCACATGAAAACCTCGATGGTCTGGTCCATCGCAGCCACCGGTTTTGTGGTTGCCTCGGAGCAAAAGGGCTAGCTAGCGACCACATCACAGCCGGATCATGCGCACTTACGAGCCAGAGCAGAGCACGGAAATCAGAGATAAGCCCCAGTCTGCACAAACCCGCACCGCTGGCTTTTTCTCTTTAATGAAGTTGTCACCTAACAAAACAGTGATTTTTTTTGTTTACTTGCTTGCTTTGCTTTTAGTTTTTGTGTTTTTTTCTCTCTTAATTACAGACACAAAAAACATTGGCTCCCGCAAACCATTTCAACCTCCTGCCGCAACTGAACCCAAGCATTTTCCGACGCACACTTCTTCCCATAGCAGAGCGCTCCCCAGCAACACCAAAATGCCAAAATTTCCGGGTTTTAGGATTTTAATGTCATTCTTCACTTACTATTTGCACATTTAATATTTTTAAAAATTACATCTTAAGCTTGAAAATAGAAAAATGTGAAAGATACTGAGGGAAATGTAAAGACTACATCACCTGGGGATGCGGCCAGTGCGGTGGTTTCTCTGAGACCCCCTGCAATGAGCTAGACAGAAGGAAGATGCTAGCCCCACCCAATAAGGACTCATTGGCAACAGCAGCAGCCAACCTACAGAAAGAGATACTTGTGCTTAGATACCTCCTCAAAATAGGAGTTGATTTTAGTGGAGATGCAAACGAGCCACAACCGCCTGTGTGTTTTGAAGGATATTCTCGAGCACTCCATGAAAGTAACACACTTACTGCCAGTTGTTCATGTTTTGAACGAAAATCCTTGTGTTTTTAATTAAGAATTTTTTTAAATTAATTTAAAAAAATTAATTTGTTATTTGTATTTTGAAGGAAAAATCCCTGTATTTTTGTTTCAATTAATTAATCATTAACTGAGACCAATACAATGAATCACTATCCATCCACTATCTGAGTCTGGGAAAGTTACTTCCTCTCTCAGCGCCTCCCGTTTGTCGTCTTTAAAGAGGTGATAATAATAGTACCCAATTATAGGTTGTTGAAAAATTAAAAGAGTAAATTCTTGTCAGGAGGTTAAAAGAGTGTCTGACACACAGGAAGTTTTCAATAAGCATTACCAGTAGTAATGGTAGTAACAGCAGCAGCAACCACCACAATTGTAATAGTAATAGAAGTATCAGTAGTAGTAGCAGTACTAGTGTGGTGGTAATAGTAATAGTACTTGGTATAGTTAATAGTAGCAGCAGCAAAGCTGTATGCTATAACTATGGCCAAATCTGTCCTAGGTCAAAAAGAGTCTGTCAAATTGTAGACAACATCTTCCCATTACAGTGTTATTATTCTCAGAAGATTTAATGTCTCGTGCTTAAGAGTCTGAAAGTAACCCGTTTCTTTGCCTTTAAGTTGGATGAAAAGCAGAGATGGTGTTGACACCATGTTGGCGATTTATGGGTGAGCCCAGAGAGGCCAGGGAACCTCTGCTTTCTCTAAATAACAAGTATATCAAGGACTCTGCAAGCCTAGGAACAACGCCAGGGAGTCTGCATTCTGAGGGCCCTGGGAGCAGCCTTGCCTGCCAGGAGTGCTGTGTTAGCCAAAGGCCTTGCTGTCCAGCTGAGCCAACTCTTAGCTAAGTTACCAAAAGGAGGAAGAAAACCAAGTCTCCAGGGCCATCAGATTTGTCTCTCATCACCTGGCTAAATATTTAGAACTTAGGATTTAAGTTTTTTTCTTCATGGAGGAAATGAATGGGCACCCAAAGAGTAACAAACACGATAAAGCCTCCAAATTGGCTTGCAAAACTGTGAAAGTTGTTACTGCCCACAAGTGGAAATGGAGTTTGAGAGCTGGATGAAGAGGTTGACTGTGACAAGGAGTTGTTTGAAACTTTTGGTTCATTTACATGTGTTACATGCTGTAGCATTAATGTAAACTATAATGAACTCTATTTTCAGTGAAGAAATGGAAATATATTTACAGTGAGGATATTATAGAATATCCTCAGTTATGTGTCTTCAGCTGAAAATATATTTCCCTGCAATGGTACAAGAGACTGGCCAGTTAACTCACACACTTTTTTGTCTGTGATACAAGCAATCTGACCTCTCAGAAAGATTTCAATAAAAAATCCCCACCAGCCTGACAACACCCCAGATCCTTGACAAAGCTCGGGAGGCGGTGAAGAAACGTTGCTGTGCATCTCCACACGTGTGTGTGGCTCCTAGAAACAGCGTAGCGCTAAGTCAGTCAGAGGAACCGCCTAGAGACCTACTTATTTGTGATTTCCGGTCTTTGTTCAGCTCCACCTAATTCTCAGAAATGGATACACTCAGTGGGCTAGCATCTTGCCTAACAACCAATGAGGAGGTTGGGAGATATTTTTCTCTGATGCTTATGGTGGGGTGGCTCCAGATGACACCCCAGACTCTCAGAGGAATGAGTTCCCTCTCCCTGCTACAAGGAGTAATTCACTGGAAAAGTTTGAGGAGCATTCTCTTAGAGTCTGTTTTTCTCTCACTGCCAATAAACAGCTGGCAATAGATACACCCATTCTACCTCTGAAATAGCCCTCAAAATAATCCATATTCCTCCACACCCTTAGTTTGTGTTGTCATCATTTACTGCTCCAAGGAGTGCAGTAACTTCCTTCCTGTCTGGGCTTATCCGGCCTGTAGTTAAACCAAAGAAACCTCCACATGACAGTGCCTTCATCACAGGAGTTTACTTCTGGTGTTTCTGTTCAGTGGTGGCCTTCCGCATCGTCATTCCAGGGCCCCTGCTCCTTTGTTCTTGTGATTCTGCTATACCGGCAGGCGGGAATCAGCAGTTTTTTTTCCATAAAGTGCCAAATAGTACATATTTTAGGCTTGGCGGGCCACATAGTCTCTGTCACAACTGCTCAACTCTGCCACTCTAGCCAAAAGCAGCCATAGACACACCCAAATGAGTGTGGCTGTGATTCAGTAGAACTTTGTAAATGAATACTGAAATTTGAATTTCAGGTAATTTTTACCTGCTATGAAATATTATTCTTCTTTTCATTTTTTTCCCCAACCACTTAAAAATTTAAGAACCATTCTTAGTTCAAGGGCCATACAAAAACAGGTGGCAGATGTGGCCTGCAGGCCATGGTTTGGTGATTCTTACATTAGAGTGAAAAGAAAATCAAATTTAAAATATTGTGGCCTGGCCGGCCCCGTGGCTTGGCGGTTAAGTGTGCGCGCTCCGCTGCTGGCGGCCAGGGTTCGGATCCCGGGAGCGCACCGACGCACCGCTTCTCCGGCCATGCTGAGGCCGTGTCCCACATGCAGCAACTGGAGGGATGTGCAGCTATGACATACAACTGTCTACTGGGGCTTTGGGGGGGAAAAAATAAAATAAATAAAATCTTTAAAAAAAATAAAATAAAATAAAATATTGTGGCCTGTTGATTCAAACTACTTAGAGTTGTGGTCTTTTGTTTTAGCAACCAGACGTAAAGTGTTCACTTCTTTGCTTTTCTCTTTAACAGGATCTGGAAACATGGAGGTGTCACATCCCATTGCTGCCAGCACCCCTGAAGGGAGAAATTATGGGACAATAGGTATTTCCTACAATGAGTCCATTAATGGAAGTGTTTCCTAATTCTCCAGAAAATAGAATACAGAGGGCCTTCCAGCTCTAATAATTGTAAGAGTGGGCAAGACAGTCATCATATAAGATTGTCTTTTATTTTTAAGATGAATTGGTTGGATGATCTGGAAGGTTCTTTCCAGCTCTAACTTTCTCCAGTTCTCTTGTTCTATTTCATGGGTCTTCTAGCCACACTTGAGCAGAATTCCCTACAATGGTTGCCATCAGCTGCCAAAGCCCCCATGGGGATTTTTTCATACCCAGCCTGAGTTTAGGGCGTGAGATGTGTCAGAGTCTGATGTCAGGGAGCCAGACTCAATTGACCAGTTGTTTCATTCTCAGGTTTCAGTGGAGTAAGGGCGAGCAGAAGACTAAGGCTGTGCTGCAGGTGAACATGGCTGAAGCCTAACGATCTTTCATTTTGGCTAACTTCGTAATTGAACCTGCTCACGGCCCCCAGTCATTCACATGGCAACTCCCAGTGTTCGTTCAGTGGCCTGAAAGGGGCAGAATTCCTATCCCTGTCTTGTTAGAGTAGGAGTGCACTGATGCTTCCACGCACTTCCATGACGCCTGTGGGCCTATGAATGGTGCGCCTTACAATGTCAGTGTAGAGGGCCCGGGAATCCTGTATTCCTGCCCTGTCATTCTGTAACTGTGAGAAGCATGTGGGCTCAGTGCAGGCAACTTATTTCTGGCTCTGCAAGAACAGAGTTTTTTTAACCATCTGAACAGAAGAAGAAATAAAGCAGAAGGTAGGCTCAGCTCATGAGCTCATCAAGCTGTACAAATTCCCATCTGCTCTGGGAAACATTCACGGAACACGAGAATTCTTCTTCCTGAGAATGTTGTTTTCATTATATAATCACAGATACGGCATGTGGGGGATTTCTGTGTACAAATACTTTATCCACAAGATATGTCTAGCTGCTGGATATGTATGTGCTTACATGTATATATGGTGGATGCTATACTTAACAATGTGCATGTGTATGTTTATATATTTATGTTCATATTTTAAAACATGAAATATAAGCATCATATTATCTTTGCATCCAAATAGTTAACAGAGCAGATGCTTTTATATTCTTAATACATATTCAGCCCTAGAAATAGACAATCTAAATATAAAAATAAGAGAAGAGGAAAATTAGAAGTCCATTGAGGAGGAATTGAGAGAAAGAACATGTGTTGTGGGTAAGGAGTTAGTTTTTACCCACACAACATTTTGAAGAATGAGTCAGCACTGTGCTTTTTGCAGAGAGCAAGGGCTCCGTGGGTTCGTCTTGGCTTTGGAAGGCAGATGGGTCTTCTCTGTTTCAGATGAGTCAAGCTCCAGTCCTGGCAGGCAGATGTCCTCCTCTGACGGGGGGCAGACATGCCAGTCAGACACAGACAGCTCCGTGGAAGAGACTGACTTCGACACCATGCCAGATATTGAGAGTGACAAGAACATCATCCGGACCAAGGTACCAAAGCCTGGGCATACTCTTGGAGAGGGCAGCAAGTTCAGCAGTTGAGTACAACTTCAGCAACGGCTCAGTGTCACTTATCTTTTTTTCCTTCAGGGGAAGTCAGATTTCCCAGAGGGCTTTTTAGATGAGACATAATTACAGACTAAAAGCAATACTCTGTTAATTAGCACTTCTTTCTGGAGGGAGAAAGTGAGAGCATTAAAGAGAACAGAGCATTAAAACATCATCAGGGTCTGAAGGGGCTGACTGAGGAGAGTAAAGGAGGAAGGGATCCAACCAGATGGAAGAAAAGATTCATTGAGGGGTGGTCCTGGAAAAATTCCCTGGTTCTGTACATATCATCCTTCAGGAGTAGAGCTCCTTTCTTTCTGGCATATATTTATTGTATTGTGTTGTATCTAGTAAGGGATATGCAAGTGAGTTGCACAGTTTCAACCCAGTAATTCAAGAACCACACAATGGGGATGGCCCAGTGGCATAGTGGTTAAGTTCAAGCGCTCTTCTTCAGCGGCCCGGGTTTCACGGGCCCGGATTCCAGGCACAGACCTACGCACCACTCATCAAGCCATGCTGTGGTGGTGTCCCACATACAAAATAGAAGAAGATGGGCACAAATCTTAGCTCAGGGCTAATCTTCCTTGGCAGAAAGAGGAAGACTGGCAACAGATGTTAGCTCAAAGCCAATCTTCCTCAACAAAAAAACAAAAGAAAAAAAGAACACACAGTGGACATCTCTGAAAACTGAGAAACCAATTCTTGAAATAGAAGAAGCATTCAAGACTCCCAATAGGTTTCCCACATCAGCCAATCCTTAATATCCCAAGACAAATATTAGGATTTTTATTAAGGTATCCTGGGAAAAGCAAAATTAAAAGTCTTGTTAAATAATTTTAATCCCTAGTGAGGGATTGAATTGAAATTTGTAAAGCTCTCCTTTGTATCTTATGCAAAAAAGCCAACTACAGTTTGTCTTCTCTTTTTATTTGGCATTGCAGATGTTCCTTTACCTGTCAGATCTGTCCAGGAAGGATCGGAGAATTGTCAGCAAAAAATATAAGATTTATTTTTGGTGAGTAGATGACCAGCAGGACCATGGTTCCCTTAAATAGTACTAAAGTTTTCTTTGTAAAAGCCACAGTTACTTATGTCACGGGTCTCAGTGTTTAATGAGGTACACGTGTTTCAAGGATCCAGGCCACATTCCACAGGAAAAACAAAAATACACTAAAAAAGGAAACTGGCCCTAACTTAAATAAATACAAAGTAAAAATGAGAATAGTAGTAGAATCTCGTATGTTTAGGGAGCACACTCAATCCTTTTCCAGAAAGATAGTGTAACAATAACATTAGTGTTGCTGCCTTCCAGGAGACACGCTAAACTGCAGCGATTCCCTCCTCTCCTCACCAGGCCGTGCTCTTGGAAGAGCCAGTGATTTCAGGGACTAGATGCCTAGAGCATCTCAGAGTAGCTGGAAACCACCCTGAGGGAGGATGATACCACCGGCCAATGATAAATAGACCTGGGTTGGTCAAACACACAGATGCAGCCTCCCTCCAAGCCGAGAGGCTGAGCTGCCTGGCAGGGACCCCTCCTCCCCTCAGAAACCCCAGGCTGACACTTGTGACAGCTCTTCCCATTCTTTTCTCTTGAAGGATGCCCTTTTACTTGGATAGATATATTGAGGGGAAAAAGGGACAGTGGGGGCCACATGGAATTCCATAGTGGGACCATCATTTTGGAACCCTGGAACCTTGGAAGAGGTATCTAAGAGAGCCACATCCCCTTCATATGATCCATCACCCATTACTTACACTCTGATCACTTTTAATCTAGCAACATCCTAAAGAGATAGGACCTCATTAATAATTTGGTTAAACCAGAAGCAAGTATTATTCACACGGTTTTACAAATGACTGGAGAAACAGGAATCACATAATCAGTTTCTAGTTACTTTTGCGAGTTAACTAAGGAGTTATGGGGTGGAAGCCTTCTTTAAAAAAAATTGAGCCAAGATTCCATTGTTAATTTGGAAATAACTATGTCCGGTTCTTTCTGCCTTAATAGGAACATCATCACCATTGCTGTGTTTTATGCACTGCCTGTGATCCAGCTGGTCATCACCTACCAGACAGTAAGTGCTGCCCCGAACCCCGGAATCTCAGCTGTCATAGTGCAGAGAGAGATCTTTGCTGTGACTTACAGAGAAAAGTATAACTTGGGATCAGTCCAAGAATTAATTTCTCATTTGGCTTCCAAGCGGACTTCTCCATTGCTTTGTCTTCAACTCAGCTTTAAGTCTAGTTCTTAATTGTTTTACCAGAAAGGGACCTGGGACCTCTTATGTTATTTTGTCTACCAATCTGAAATTATTATCCTGCGCTCCTTTAGTCATGATATCTATCAACTGCATCCCTGTTGTTTACCCGTCTGACCTTTTGAGCATCATGAGATAATGAGTGGAGTAAATAAAATTCTGGACCGAAATGAAGAAACCTCGTCTAATTTAGCCTGTGCCCTCTCCTTGAGGGTAAATATTTTTTGTAAAATTAAAAAGTTTCACAAAACTAATAAAATATTAAAATAAAAAGAAAATATAAAATAAAAACTAAAATAAAGAAAAAACCAAATAAATAAATATAGTAATTAAAACAGCTTGAGAATCCCCACTGTTCCTTCACAGAACCCTAGGGTCCAGGTCACTTAAGTGACCTTCTCTAGGATTTATTATACATGTGAAAGTCCATTTGGAATAGCACGAGGCTGAAGGTGTTTCTAATACAGTGGCTCTCAAACTTTGCTCTGCATTAAAATCATCTGGGGAACTTTTAAAAATATCCATGTCCAAGCTGTACCCCATACCAATTAGATCAGAATCTCTACTGCCAGCAATTCCAGTGTACAGGCAAATTTGAGAGCCAATGGTCTCATAATATTTGGCCAATTTCATACTTATTGAATGATGAGGACAAGGACTTTATGAGGTTTGAGTACCACTGTTAATAATCTAAATATTTTCTGAAAACTTTGGGGCCTTGTCAGAAGATATAGCTATGCTATGATCTTGGAAGGTTGTTAATGACAGAGATGGTAATAAATATGGAAAACTGAACACACAACTTCTCATATCTCCCTGCCCCATGGTTATCATTTCCACGCAGAGGGTGGGACAGCTCCATACCCTCCCAGCATTCATCTAGAAAATAGAACATATCACGACAGTCCTAATAGGCAAGTTCCAATGTCAGCATCCTTTCATACTCCTTTTATAATGAGAGCAAAGGAAACGTACTCAGTTGAATTCCACCTTGAGGCCACAATATGGGGGACACAGAATATTTCAGTTCAAAGCAAGATGGTGGCCTTTATAGGAAATGTGCCTATGCTGGGTAAAGGTGGCAGATAATCACCCATCCCCTGCTGAGGAGGAGCACTGGTTACACTGGAAATCACTGACAGTATCCCTGTGAGCAGAGTCTGATTCTTGTGATTTCAGGCTGGGCTCAGGGGACGGAGAAAAACTGCTTCTCCTCTTCTCGCTCTCGATTCTGCAGGTGGTGCACGTCACTGGCAACCAGGACATCTGCTACTACAACTTCCTCTGTGCTCACCCCCTGGGCGTCCTGAGGTAAGCCCGGTCCTCTAGTTACCCATGAGGCATTGAGAGATTCCTTTCTGTGTAATGTTGTGATTTCAGTTTTTAAAAATACTGCAAACAACTGTGGAAAACTACCCCAGTCAAGGGTAAAAGGAATGGAATCAAGAAAGGGGCCTCAGGAAACAGTCCTAATCTGCTGAGGAGGGGGCAGGGATGTCTTTGAAAACATCAGATCCCTGGCTGTGATGACACTCGCCCATGGACATGAGCTGCTAGTTCATTCAATCTGTTAAATAACCTCATGAGATAGATAATATTATTATTACCCGCTTTAAAGATGAAGACTGTAAGGACTTGTTGAAGGTCTCTCAGCTGTTAGTGATGTCGGGACCCGACCCCAGGCCTGCTGCCTCCAAGGTCATGCTCTAGCCACCAAAACATGACGAAGTAGGAAGAGCATTTGCCTGGGAGTTCGGAGCCTGGCATCTTTTTCCAGAACTGGACCAGCCTCAGTCTCCTGAAATAAAGCTGCTGGCTGTGACCAACTGACACATATCCTGAAATTCACAATTACAGAGCTGAAATATTGACACATAACGTGGGTCTGTCTATGAGAATTCCCTCTCACAGTATAGCGGAAACTTGGCCAAACTGCCTGTCTTGGGAGCGGCTCTCTTTCCCAGGATTGGTTCCATGCCAGTGCCATCGGGACAAGAGAGGATTGGGCAGGTGTTAGGGTAGCTGAGCAGGGACCTCTGAGAGGAAACAGACACATTCTCACAGGCTACGCATCCCAAAATGAAGGAGTGAGGTTTAAGATGATCTGGGATGATTTTCTGGTCCTGAAATCTCATGAAAGGTTGGTGGTGGAAATCATGGGAAGCTGAGTTCACTGGCTCATTCGTGCATTCGCTTGTTCTCTGAATCTCTGATTGCCTTGACTCGTGTGGTTTCTCTCTCATCCCTTTAGTGCCTTCAACAACATTCTCAGTAACCTGGGCCACGTGCTCCTGGGCTTCCTCTTCCTGCTGATAGTCTTGCACCGGGACATTCTCCATCGAAGAGCCCTGGAAGCCAAGGACATCTTTGCCATGGTGAGGAGAGGCAGGGTAAATCAGAGGTGGGAGCTAGGAAGCGTTATGGTTCCAAATAGGATCTGCAAAGGGGAGGGACATCTGGCTTGATGGTGTGACGATGGATAATGTGTAATGAACCACGTAAGGCCAGAAGTCTAGGCTTCCAGATTCTGTGGCTATGTCACTAATGAGTATCCTTCTGTTGACCACACTTTCTTCTTTTTCAGGAGTATGGGATTCCCAAACACTTTGGTCTCTTCTATGCAATGGGCATCGCGCTGATGATGGAAGGAGTGCTCAGTGCTTGTTACCACGTCTGCCCTAATTACTCCAACTTCCAATTTGGTAATTAGAATGTACATCAACTACACAGATTTGACTTATAGGAGTCTTATCCTGGGACCCTCCAAAAAATGCCAAGGTCATGCTTGCAAGAATTAAATGAGATTTTACTTGAGCTGAAGTGATCTGAGGGCATCTCGCCACAGGGCATGGATTCCATAAGTTGTACCATTTTTCCTCTCTGACCACCTTTCAGACTAGAAAATGCTCAACACCGAATGTTGATCCCATGGCTACATCTGCAGGTGACCCATGGGCTAAGTGTTAGGCAGCAGGTCAGATAGAATCCACCAACAGACATCTGGAAAGGTCCCCCAGTGTAACTTGACCTAACTTAGCAATTAGACTGCTTTGGGTTGAAAATAATAGAAAATCTAATTCAATTGGATTAAATAATAAGGACATTCATCAGCTCACCCTCTGCAAGTCCAGAGATGGAAAGGGCTTGTGGTTGGTTTATCTGGTGGCTCTGGCTCCATTTCCCTGTGACCCCTTGGTTGTGGCCAGCCTGCGTGCTGGGTTTATCTTCAGGCTATCGGGGAACTCATGGTGGCAAAAATAGTTACAGCAAGTCCTGGCTTTCTGGCTCCACCCCACCATGTCTGGAGGATGCAGCAAGCTGGCTTCCAGGAGCCTTCATTTAAGAGCAAGGAAACCTCTTTTCCAAAAACCCCCAGATAAGGTCCCCTCACACCTCAATAGCTTAAACAGTCATGAGCCCATTCCAGAATCATTCCCTAGGTGCTGGTTAGCTCAGGCCTGGGTCGCTACACCAATCATGGTGGCAAAGGAGGTGGGATGACCTTTAGACCAATGAGACCCATCCCCGGAACCAAGGATGCAGTTAGCCTTAGCAAAGCAAACGGGCGGGAGAGTGTGCACTTCTGAACTGAAGTGGGGCTCAGATACTTGCGTTGGTATCAAGATGCTGTCAGAAAGAAGAAAGGGAAGAGCTGATGCTGGTAGTAGGCAATTAACAATGTCCTCCAGGGGCCGGCCCTGTGGCATAGCAGTTAAGTGCACATGCTCCGCTGCTGGCGGCCCGGGTTCAGATCCCAGGCGTGCACCGACGCACCACTTGTCAAGCCATGCTGTGATGGCGTCCCATATCAAAAAGTGGAGGAAGATGGGCACAGGTGTTAGCCCAGGGCCAGTCTTCCTCAACAAAAAAAAAAGAGGAGGATTGGCATGGATGTTAGCTGAGGGCTGATCTTCCTCACAAAAACAACAACAACAATGTCCTCCACACTCAAGTACTATCAGGATTTTTGAAAGAGTCATTTTTGTGCTTGCACTCTAGCCTCTGGCTGTTAACTCAGAACACCACAGAAATTCTCTGCAACATTATTTTAAATTAGAAAACATTTTCAATAGAGAAAACTATAGAGAACAGTATCATTCACCACTCAGAAGGAACAAATGCCAACATTGTAAAATATTTGCCGTAAATCTACTTTTCAAGAAATAAAACATGGTATAAAGTTGAGGTCCTATTTTGAACTGCTTTCCAAACCTATTCCCCTCTCTCCTTCCCCAGAGGCAACAACTATGATTAATTTGATATTTATCCTTCCAGGTTTATTGTTTTACTACATTTGTAGTAAATTAATATTAATTTCTCACACTGTTCTGCAACCTTCTTTTTGTATTCAACAATATGTTTTCAAGATTTATTAATATTGAATCAAGAACATCTAGTTCATTCACTTTAAGGCTTGTCATATTCTGTAATAAAAATATACCACATTTATCAATTCCTCTATTGAACATTTAGATTCTGCCAGTATCTTGCTATTACAGACAATGCTGCAAAGAACATCCTTATATATACCACTTTGTGAACATGTGAGAGAGGGTCCCTGGGAGACCTAGAAGTAGAATTTTGGGCTCCTCTGGCGTATGCTTCTTCCATTTTACCAAAAACTGTCAAGTTTCTCTCCAGTATTAATTCCCACCCCCACTAGCTGAGTTAGTGTCATCACTAACATATGTTTTTGTTAGACATTTACATTTTTTGCTACATTTTTGAGTAACATGGGACACTGCATTGTTGTTTTAATTTACGTTTCCATAACTCTCATGCAGCTAAGCCACATTTAATTTCTAGCTGTTTTCCCTCCCTCGGCTATAAAGCTATAGATGAGCAGTAATCAATGTGGTTATATTTCAGGATGCTAAGAAGGACCTCTGACACCCACCAGGGATTCTTTTTATTGTCACGCTGCCTTAACTGTCACCATGAGGGCTTCTTTTGTTATTGTTGTTGAACACCAGCATTTAAATGAAAATACCCCTACAAGCGGAGATAGTCAGTTGTTTATCGTATCATCCGATACTCTTTTCTGTGAACTAGGAACAGCCTTGGAGGGGTTTGAAGTGGAGTATGCAGGGTTTGCCTAGAGAATGTGCCTGGTGAGGCTTGCATGTGGGAGGTCTCCACACAGTGTGAGGGCAGCAAATACTCCAAGGCCTTAAGGGAGGGGGGTCTCCGAGGCCGAAGAGAAATCTGTCTGTCGCCTACTGGATCCTGATTGTCTCGGCCCCTCCTCTGCACCCACAGACACCTCCTTCATGTACATGATCGCCGGCCTCTGCATGCTGAAGCTCTACCAGACCCGCCACCCAGACATCAATGCCAGCGCCTACACTGCCTACGCCTCCTTCGCCGGGGTCATCACCGTCACCGTCCTCGGAGTGGTGCGTCCCTCCCCACAGCCTCCAGCCCGGCTCTCACAAAGTGCCCTCTTGGGAGGTTCTTGTTTGTTCTTTGGGTGAACAGGTTTGAATTAATCATAATCTTTGGTTCATGACACGCTCTCACCATTGGTCCAGTCATGATATTTTATTTAGTTATTTAGCTAAATATTTTTAATAATGTAATAGACCCCTGTAAAACTACCCCTGGAGAGTTTTAATGTAAAGCTGAGACCTGACTCACGTGAGATTGAATAGAGATATACAAGCTGATTGGAGAGGCTGACTTGAAGGACAGAGGCCACTTTCTGAATGTGCATGGACAACTGCTGAGTTGTCTTCAGTTATTTGAAGAGGGTTAGCCCCCAACTTTAGACCTATTGCCCCTTCACTTTTATTGTTCAGCTGCCTCACTCATTTCCGCTTGGCCAGGCAGCCATTCTTTTTCCTGTCCTGGGTGCCCTAAGAGCCCCGTGAGCTCAGAGAAGGGGGAACCCAAAATGCACGCACAGCTCGGTTTTGACTCCTTATGCATAGATAAGAGACAGAACAATTTTAGTGAGTTCTCTGGGAAAAACTCCAGATGAAGGTAACTTCCGTCTTTACTCCTAGGTCTTTGGAAAAAATGAAGTGTGGTTCTGGGTCATCTTCTCTATAATCCATATTCTGGCCTCTCTGGCCCTCAGCACCCAGATCTACTACATGGGTCGCTTCAAGATAGGTGAGTCCCCCGTTACTTAGTATGAAACGCACTGATTAACTTACCCTGAGAAAACATTGTCTTCGCTTATCCTAAATGGAAGTGTTACTGCATTCTGTGTTGTGTTTAATAACATGTATTCTCTCCAAGAGCTTCCTCTCCTTTATAGGATTGCAATAAACCATGATCACTAGTTCTATTCAACTGAGAAACTAAGCTTGCCGTCCCTCGGAGCTCAGGCAGACCTCCAGCTCCAGGTCCCAACCGCTTTACAATCCACCAAACTTTGAAAGTGAGTTTGCAGAACCATCTGATCATCATGCCACCAGGTCCACCCAGAGGAATATTTTTAGGTTTGTAGCATTTAAAAGGAGCATTTCTGGGCCGGCCCTGTGGCTTAGCGGTTAAGTGCGCGCGCTCCGCTACTGGCGGCCCGGGTTCGAATCCCGGGCACGCACTGACGCACCGCTTCTCCTGCCATGCTGAGGCCACGTCCCACATACAGCAACTAGAAGGATGTGCAACTATGACATACAACTATCTACTAGGGCTTTGGGGGGGGGGCGGAAAGGAAGAGGATTGGCAATAGATGTTAGCTCAGAGCCAGTCTTCCTCAGCAAAAAGAGGAGGATTAGCATGGATGTTAGCTCAGGGCTGATCTTCCTCACAAAAAAATAAATAAATAAATAAAAGGAGCATTTCTCTAACCATGGTAAATCGTTGTCAAGAATGAATTATATATTATTTTCGAATTCTAGGACTAGAATTTTTTGAGACCAACTTGCCAATCTTAGAGGCAGGACATCTGCTGAATTCCCTCTGACCATGTGAATGCATCACATTAGAACACTGAGTATTCTCCAGAAATCGGCGGCTGACCTGCTGTTGGTCAGTCATCATACGTGGAAGGGAGCAGGTTCAAGTTATTTTATAGCATTTAAATTTCACCAGTCATTTTAAGATCCAGGAAATCAGACTTAAATATCCTTTTGTATGTTTCAAGAAAAATTATTCTATGCAAACACAAGCCCATGCCTAATGTCTACAGAGCCCACCACAAGAGTTCAAATAAAAGCCCACATACCATATGTATCAAAATTTTAGAGTTATAAAGCAGACTGAAAAACTATGTATTAAATTAATACATAGAGGGAGGGAAAAAGGACAGGAGGGAAGGAAGGAGGAAAGAAAGGAAGACCAACAAACTGCTAAATATAATATGCCTTCATAACAACCTAAAAGGTCCAGGTTCAATTTTAGAATTCTCAGTTCCTCAGAAGAACACTCCAGAACATAGCTATATGGGACAGCTGGTCCCCAACCCCTGCCCCTCTTTTCCTCCCACCTCTGTCTCTGTCCTGCATCTTAAGGGGTCTTGCAGGTATGCGTATGGACACTCTTGCCAAACATCCAATCTGCCACTCCTTGCCCCTAGAAGCACGCCCTCTAGTGGTACCATCTGCCCTCTGGAAGATAGACTAGGGAAGGGGCCGTGTAGGCTCTGAGAGCAGGCTCAAGGCCATCTGGGCAGGGAACCTGGAGTCTGGGAATTCAGAATGTGGCCTAGAAGGAGCACGAGTAGGCCCCTGCCCAGCAGACTCCTCACTCAGTGGGGAATGAGGGCCTCTGGAATAGGAGACCCCCCTTGCCCAGGTCTAAGAGAGAGTCTCCATAAGCAAGTGGCTCTAAGTCTAGAAGACTGAATAAGACAGTTTCTCATTTTGGCAGTTTGGTTTTCCCTGGTGGCATGGTCAGTAGATCTCCCCTTGGCATTAACATAGCCAGCGTGCCTCCAGATCCCCCAGCGAAGCGTCGTTAGTGGGTTGTATAGAACATTTGGTTTGGCGCTGTGGTCATTTCCCATCCTCCAGACTCAAAGGTGAGTGAAGTCACACAAAGTAAAACTTTCAAAAGGAAAACAATTTGGATCATTGTTGTTCTATGTTCTCCCAGAGTTGGAAAAATAAACTTGAAGGCAGATATATGTGATGGTAGTGGCCATTAATACAGAGAGAAGCTTTTAATATGTTTATACCACCTTTGCCCCATACAATTTTACAATACTGAATTAGTTTACCTTTTTAAAAAGGAGAAATTTAATGTATTATATTATGACCAATGTAATGTATCTGTCAGCCAGCCCTGGTGGTCTAGTGGTTAAGATCTGTTGTTCCCACTGCCACGGGGTTCATTTCCCAGTCAGGGAACCACACCACCCGTCTGTCAGTAGTCATACTGTGCCAACTGTGTGTTGCTGTGATGCTGAAAGCTATGCCACTGGGATTTCAAATACCAGCAGGGTCACCCATGATGGAAAGGTTTCGGTGGAGCTTCCAGACTCAGACAGACTAGGAAGAAAGACTGGCCACCCACTTCCGAAAAAATTGGCCATGAAAACCCTATGAATAGCAGCAGAGCATTGTCTGATAGAGCCCTGGAAGGTGAGAGGATGGTACAAAAAGACTGGGCAGGGTTCTGCTCTGCTGTCCATAGGATCACTAGGAGTCAGAGTGGACTCAACGGCACTAACAACGAAATATATCTCGTCTGGGTCCCAACAGGAAAAAGATGTCACACACAGAGAGGGAGGAGGATTTATTCACAAAGGGACTATTCATAAGACGAGGGAGGGGTAGAGAAGAATAAAGCTAGTAGCACAGTAACCTGTGGTCAGTAGGAGAGAAGCTTTTACTATCCATAAGCCCAAAAGGACGTGGAGGAAGTGGTTACCAAAACGTATAAGGAGAGAAAGTCACACTGGAAGGAGCAGTGACCTTTAGTTGACAGACCCGGCGAGCCTGAGGCAACCTCAAGGGAGGTCACCAGGCAGGTAATGCTCTGAGCCCACTCTCCTTCCTCTGTCCCTCCAGTCTCCTGCCGGGTTCCCATTGTCCAGATCCATGGGGAGTGAGGAAATCCACGGGTGGGGTCGTACAGTCAGCCTCCGGGGCTTGGTGCAGACGGAGAGACGTGGCAAGTGGGTCTGGAAGGGCAAGTGGAAGACAGCCAGGGTACAGCTGAACTGAATATTTTACATTTCTGTGCCTAGGGAGTCTTCCCCAAGGGGTTACAGACTTAACAGAGTCAAAGGAAAATTTGCTATTTCATTGTGACAACGATTGCATCTAAATTCAGTCCAAAGGCAGGAAGCTGGGTTAGTGGACAGCGGTTCAGGCAACACCAACCTCTCCGCCCATTTCATAAGCTGCCTGGGCTTTCTCAAGTCACAGGCTCCTTCCTCTGTGGCCCTCAGGCCGCACCTGAAATAAACGTGGATGCAGGAGAGGCAGCAGTGAGGCAGCGGAGCATTTCATAAGTAGGACAGAAAACGGTAGGGCTACTTGCCCAGATCACTACTGTCGCTTGCTACCAGAGCCCCACAAAAGGACCTCAGGGATCGCTCCTGAGAGAGGATGGTTTATATATTGCAAGTGGTGCACAAAAGTAGACAGGGAAAGAAAAATGTCCGATTCACTCTTTGAGGAGTGGTAACTTATGAAGATTTGAGACAGGAAAAAGGATTCTGTGTTCTTTATGATAAGCAGACATTACTTTTATAATCAGAAAATAAAATTAAAGTCATCCATTTTGAGAAAAGAATAAAATGACCAGTAGTTTACCTTTTTCTCTACCTTCTTACAAATCTTTTTTTTTTTTTCTCATTTCTTCTCTGCTTCCAACTGATTCAGATGGGTCTGACACAGGTAATGTTCAGCCATCCTTCCCAGGGTTCTAGATTGTTTTCCTAACAAAGCAACCCACCTGGCTGTCCTGCCAGCCCTGTTCCCTGCACACCCCTTCCAGGTGGGGCAGGACCAGTGGGAGGAGGAGCCAGAGAGGCCCAGAGGCAGGATGCACTCCAACCCAGCCTGCACTGCGCCTCTTCTGGGCTACTGCGTGGACACACCCCTCCCTCATTCCTCCCTCAGCATAGCTCATCTAGCAAAGCTGGTTAAATTGACCTTGGGGGTAGCCTTGAAGAGGAATAGCATTCACAATAGAGCTGGGATCACCCCTCCCTGAAATGCTTGCTTTGGGCAGACCCCAGCTTTTCGTGTGACGTCTGCAGTGTGGACAGCTCACAGAAAGAGAGCCCCAGGGGCCAGCCCCATGGCCTGGTGGTGAAGTTCAGCGTGCTCTGCTTTGGCGGCCCTTGTTGTGTTCCCAGGCACGGACCTACACCACTTGTCAGTGGCCACGCTGTGGTGGTGACCCACATATAAAATAAAGGAAGGTTGGCACAGATGTTAGCTCAGGGACAGTCTTCCTTGGCAATAAAAAGAGAGGCCCACCTGTGACCCTGACTCTGTTCATAGGACAATTAAATCATGCACACTGGCTGTGTTTCATACCATCCTTTTGAAGGATTGCATTAAAAAAAAAAAAAACCTTTCCTCTCTTTTTCTCCCCATCTTAACTTACATTCCTTTGATTATTGTTTCAGTACAAGTTTAGGCTTTCTGACTATGCTTAGTAGACCCCAGTATCCCTTGGGTCAATTCTTACTGACTTATAACCACACTGAAAAATATAGATTAGAACTTTTACAAGCTAAGATTTCCCATCCTCTAGAGAGAGCAGAGGTTTTAAGGTGGGTTTGAGGGCCCCTTAGCATCTCTGCTATAAAGGAAACACTGCTGGAGTAAGTTGTAAACAAAGGGAAACCTGGCTGAAGGAGATGGTAGAAGGGTTGGCCGGCCACCCAGATTGTTTGTGAGTGCTTGTTACTGGTGTCCATCGTGCTTGCCCTTCTGCAGTACGATGCATGGATATGGCACGCCCTCCACGACAGCACAGGTGGTTGTGAGCGCCATTTTTTAAAACAAACGTTTATTGCTGAGCTGTTAGGTGCAAAGCACCATTTTTACGGGGTGAAGATGGCATCATCCTGGCCTCAAAACCTGGGGCCATCTGGGAGTATTTTGCACTACCTCTGACTGAGCCTTCTTACTATGCAATTGTGTCATCAGCAGATTTGGGAATCTTCCGGCGGGCCGCTATGGTGGTCTACACGGACTGCTGCCAGCAGTGCAGCCGGCCTCTGTACATGGTACGTGCGGGCTCTTGTGTTCCTTGGCCTTCTCCCAGAGAGTATGGGAAGAGCAGGAGGGGCAGGCTCGAGCAGTCACTCAAGGCTCTCCAAATGAAGAGGGCCAGATGGCCCAGGGTGGCTGAGGTCCAGGTAGTGGAAGAAGAAGCATGTTGCTTACTCGCAGCCATAAAAGACAAGCTGGGATGGTTCTTGTTTTGTACATGAAATATTGATAGTATATAAAGAAGAAAAAAATACATGTATATATAAACAAAACTATCACACACTGATAATTGCTGTAGGGGAGGATCAAGATAGGGTGTCCCTATAAATAATCATCCAAAGAGGTATGATTATTTCACTTGTGAAAGTGATAATTGCCACGGTTCAGCACGCGTAAACCAGGACTGTCCCAAGCAAGCTGGGACATATGGTCACTCCAGTCACTTTCATTAGGAACTCACACTTCCACATTATACATTTGTTTGATTTTTATACATTGGTTTTTACAATGAGCGAGAATATTTTTTCAAAACTGTGGTTGTTGCTTGATGGTTGAAATATGACTTTTAAAAGTTCTCCCTTATTGGGGCCAGCCCGGTGGCGTAGTGGTTAATTTCGAGTGCTCCACTTCAGCAGCCCGGGGTTCACAGGTTCAGATTCTGGGTGTGGACCAACACACTGCTCATCGAGCCATGCTGTGGTAGCGTCCCACATACAAAATAGAGGAAGATTGGCACAGATGTTAGTTAGCTCAGGGCCGATCTTCCTCACCATAAATAAATAAATAAATAAACAAACATTTCCATTTAAAAAAAAAAATTCTCCCTTATAGTTTTCAATAGACTATACATTTCTATACCAAGCAGAGGCATCTGGGCCGTGGTCCCAGCTGTCTTGACTCGCTGGCCAGTAACCTTGGGAAGGCCACATACCTCCCCTGAGCCACTGCCCCGACCTCTACACAGTTCTGTGGTCAGAACTAGTGATGCTGTTTGGGCCTGGCACACAGGAGTTCGCTAAGTACCTGCTGATAGTTTATAATCTGAAGAACTTTTACGTGAAGGAATGTGAGTCTTTCAGTCCTGTAGAGCTTGGGCGGGAGCTATAGGCGCTAAAAATTAAGGGAATTGAGGCTGGAGGGTTTTATTTAGGCAAGAATTTAAAAACCCATTAGGGGCCGGCCCTGTGGCTTGGTGGTTAAGTGAGCGCGCTCCGATGCTGGTGGCCCGGGTTCGGATCCCAGGCGCGCACCGAGGCACCACTTCTCTGTCCATCCTGAGGCCGAGTCCCACATACAGCAACTAGAAGGATGTGCAGCTATGGCATACAACTATCTACTGGGGCTTTGGGGGGAAAAAATAAATAAATAAAATCTTTAAAAAAAATAAAAATAAAAAAAAATAATAAAATAAAATAAAATAAAAACCCATTAGGACCTGTGAGTATTTTGAGAGTGAAGTATGCCTCAGCTGTGAACCATGAGGGGCAATTAATGTTTTTGTTTGTTTGTTTACATTAAATGATGTAGGCTGTCTTTTGTTTTTAATAGACTATTTTTAGAGCAGTTTTAGGTTCACAGAAAAATTGGGCAGAAAATACAGAGATTTCCCTTATACTCCCTCCCCCCACACATGCATGGCTCCCCCATTATCAACACCTCCTACCAATGTGGTACATTTGTTACAGTTGATGAGCCGACATTAACACTTCACAAGCCCTCAAAGCCCATGGTCTGCATTACAGTTCACTCTTGGTGGTGTACATTCTATGGGTTTTGACAAATGTATAATGACATGTATCCACCATTATTGTATCAAACAGAGTAGTTTCACTGCCCTAAAAATCCTGTGCTCCACCTATTCATCCCACCCTCACTCTTCTCTAACTCCTGGCAATCATCTTTTTACTGTCTCCTAGTCCTGCCTTTTCCAAAATGTCATATAGTTGGAATAACATAGTATGTAGCCTTTTCAGATTGGCTTCTTTCCCTTAATAATATGCGCTTAAGGTTCCTCCATGTCTTGTCATGGCTTGGTAGCTCATTTCTTTTCAGTGCTGAATAATATGCCATTGTCTGGACATACCACAGTTTATTGATTCACCTGCTGAAGGACGTCTTAGTTGCTTCCAAGTTTTGTCAATTATAAATAAAGCTGCTGTAAACATTTGTGTGAAAGTTTTTGCATGGGCATATATTTTCAACTACTTTGGGTAAATACCAGGGGGAGTATAATTGCTGGATCGTATGGTACAAGTATGTTTAGTTTTCTAAGAAACTGCCCATCTGTCTTCCAAAGTGGCTATGCCATTTGGCATTCCCAGCAGCAAAGAATGAGAGAGTTCCTGTTATTCCACATCTCCAGCATTGGGCATGGTCAGTGTTTTGGATTTTGGCCTTTCTGATAGGTGAAATAATTTGTTTTAAATGAAGATATTTCCTCAAATTGGATGGATCACCCACAAAGACAGAGAATCACTACTTTTAAATAGTAGATGAATGGCCATGCAAATTAAAGTATAATCAGCGCCTGTAAGTTGTAAGGGGTATGCAAAGGAGCAAGACCCGATTGTGAATTAATCTCTATCAGAGTAACTGTCCTTTGAGATGGATCTTTCCTCTCTAGCTTCTCCCCTACCAATAGCTTCAATGTTAAGGCTGTGTGTTTCGAGACCAGGAGTCTGGGAGCTGCAGGGCCTCTGTGGGGCCAGAGTAATGGGTGGGAAGCCAGCTCCTTACAGGTGAGTCCCAAGAGCTGCCTTGGAGCCCACCAGGGAACACAAACCAGGGAAGTGGTCCTTGATTACGTAGCACCAGTGGCGGATTCTTTTAGCTACTGAGTAATCAGCACACCCCTACAATCTCCCCACTGAGAAGTGGGTCCTGGTGACCAGCTCCCTAAACACCAGGGGGAAACAGCACAAGTCCTCTTTACTCACCACGTTTCCCTTATAGGGACGAGGTCACGTCTGTTTGGTCAGATGCCTTGCCATTTAGTCCTCGTCAAGGATTAGGGTTTGACCATAGGCAAAGTTCTCTTAGAACCGTGGAAATTCTTTTTCACCAAGGCAATTGTTTTCCCATAATTGATGCTTCCCCTATAGTAGGTTAAAAGAAAAGCAATGTGTGCAGCATCTTATTTGGTGTTTTTTTCCTTCCTTTCCAGGACAGAATGGTGTTGCTCGTCGTGGGGAATCTGGTTAACGGGTCCTTGTAAGTAGTCGCAGGAAAACATGTTTTTCTCTTTGTTAATGTCTGTAACACTGTGGTTTAGCTTTCCTTGGCTGTCATTTTTATAAAGAAATCTGAAATTAAGAAGAGCGTAGGATTGTGCCTGCCCTAGAGACTTGAAAGAAAGGTATTTTTTCTTCTGCAAAGAATGCATTAGGAAGCTCTTGTGTACCAATAGTGGCCTCTCTTAAAGCACTGAGTTGAGTTCAACGCACTGATGCGTTAAATAGATTAGATAGATAGATACTATGCCAGTAGTTGCAAAAATGCAACATAGTTTTAAACTCTTTTGTAGAACTTGCCATAAAGGCTACCCAGTAGGCATTTCTCTTTCCTGCTGTGTGTGTGTGTGTGCACGCAAATCTCTTTCCTATTTCTTTCTCTCTAGGTCTCACCCTTCTTACTTCACCTATATTATTCTTTTTCCTCTTCTTTTCCACCATTATCACTTTGGCCTTTTTTCCTCAGATGGCCTCAAAATAGAACAGTACAACAGAAGTATATTTTTGCTAGCTGTAATGATTTTATGCAACCTATTCTCAACTTAAAAATATGAATGAGGGGCCAGCCCTGTGGCGTAGTAATTAAGTTTGCATGCTCCGTTTTGGCGGCCCACGGTTCGCAGGTTCGGATCCTGGGCGAAGACCAATGCACTGCTTATCAAGCCATGCTGTGGCAGGCATCCCACATATAAAGTGGAGGAAGATGGGCACGGATGTTAGCCCAGGGCCAATCTTCCTCAGCAAAAAGAGGAGGATTGGCAACAGATGTTAGCTCAGGGCTAATCTTCCTCACCAAAAAAAAAAAAATGTGAATGAATGAAATACTTTATTGATCTCTCAAAAAATAGGCAAGTGTTTTTGAAAGTGCTGCTTTTATTAGTTGCTCTTAGCTGATGTGCTCCTCTGGGTCAGTGACCTTTGATAGATGCCTCCCTACTCCTGTCCCCCTTAAGACATAAAAGGGATGAAGAGGCACATCTTCAGGGGAAGCCAGAATCTAGTCATGAGAATTTGAATCTTATTTGGGCACCATGTGCTTCTGGAAGAAACTTCCCATAATGTTAACACCCCTGGGATTACCTCGGGGTAAGGCCCAGACCCATCAAAGACCCCTCCATTACATGGAGGCAAGTGGAAATGGTGATTCTAGGGCAGACTCCACAGTCCTGGTGACTCCGTAGGACAGGGTGCAGGGCGCTGGTAGGAGAAAAGGGACCAACCACTTGAAAATGAGCAACCGATGCCTGTCCGCAGTGCTCAGATCACCTGGCTTGTCCCCGCCTCTCACATAACTAAGAGCAAACCCACACTCTGGTCACAAGACAAGGTGAATGGCCTCTCTTCTTGGACAGGAGCTCTGTAGGACGCCAAGTGTGTGGGGATGAATGAGGCGCGATGATACGCTAAGACTATGTGATTACCGAGTAGAGGGTTTCCTCCCTCCTCTCGTCCTCAGTTTCCCCTGGATGTTACAAGACATGGAGCAATTTCTTATGAACCTTGAATGTTATTTTAAAAGGAATCACTCTCGTATAGTCCTGAAGAAGAATAATGGGAGTGTGTGTGTCTGTATTCGTATATAGAGAGGTGTGTGTATGTATATATGTGTTTATATATACACACGCAGAGAGAGAGAAAGAGAGAATAATAAAACAAATGTGGCAAAACACTAATAATTGATGAGTCTGAGTAAAGGACAAGAGAGTTTTGTTATACTGAAGATTTCAAATTCTGGGAGGAGGAAATTTCCTCTATTATATAGAACAAAGTCAGAATAAAAAATAAACAAAAACAAAGTCCATTAATAACAGCTTTACACTTGAAATACTTACGAATAAACTTGAAAGGTGTGCAGAATCTTTCTGCAGATAATTTAATTACCTTAGTAGGAGACATAAAGGAAAACAGCAAAATGAACAGAAATGTTGTGCCCTGGGTGGGAAAATTAACTATTGTGACGACATCAATTCTCAAGTTAATGTATAAATTTAGAATTAAGTTAATTGGATTTTATTCTGAAATTTATTTGCCTACTTAGGCAAAATTTCCAAATGTCTCTGCAAAAGAAGATTAACAGAAGGAAGGAGAGGCAGAGTTGTATAGTGACTAGCCCAGCATTATCCGATAGAACTTTCTGGAATGATGTAAGTGTTCTACACTGCACTGTCCAATATGGTAGCTATTAGCCACATGTGGTTACTGAGCACTTGAAATGTGGCTAGTGTGACTGAGGAACTGAATTTTCAATTTTACTTAATTTTAATTTAATTAAGTTAAACTTAAATAACCATGTGTGGCTACCATATTGGGTAGTCCAAGCTAGCCTAACCAGATGGTCTAACATATGATAAAACAATAATAAAACAATGAGTCACTGATCCAAAATTAGAAACATAAATTAGTGAATCAGAATGCAAAGGACAGAAATCCAACTCTATATATGTGCATGTGTGTGTATATTTATTAAAAACAAGCTTTTCAAAACTAGGAAATAAGAAAGGGTTATATAATAAAGAGTTTTATTATAACTGAATAGAAATTCGAAGAAAATTAAGGCTGAACTCCAACCAAAATAAACTTCACTATTAAAGACCACAGACAGCTAGCAAAAGTTTGATAAAGTGCGTCAAGCCAATTATTGAGATAATTCTACTTCTAGTAATCCAGTCTAATGAATTAATCTCAAATGCGAAAAGAAAAAAAGCATATATCTGAAGGTATTCATTATCCAACGCAGTGTTCTTTATAATGGTGAAAACTGAAGGGCGAAGGCCAAACGCTTTATTTCACCCAGAGAGGAAAGGTGAATCTTTACGGCACCTCCACTTACGGGAACCTTACAATCATTAAAGATGAATGTTCCGGAGGAGATGTAATAAATTAAAAGTTACTTATAATATGTTAAAGTTTTTTAATTCCCCTCCCCCCCAAAGGGGGGGTAGAGGAGCGAAAAAGCCAATAATGTTACAAATCCACCTTCATGACTGCAAAATAATTTCTCCCCGCGCGCTCAGTGCCCTCTTTGGACTGATCTATCGACCCAGGGACTTTGCTTCCTACATGCTGGGCATCTTCATCTGTAACCTGCTGCTCTACCTGGCCTTCTACATCATCATGAAGGTAAGAGTGGCCGCCGGGAGCCGGGAAGCGCGGCGGGCCCTCCCCCGGCCGTGCCTGGAGCTTGGCAGCATCTGCTTCTCACCCACAGCTCCGCAGCGCTGAGAAGGTCCTCCCCATCCCGTTCTTCTGCATCGTCGCCACGGCTGTGGTGTGGGCCGCTGCCCTGTATTTTTTCTTCCAGACTCTCAGCAGCTGGGAGGTAAGAGGAGAGGTTTCTTTTCCAAGATGTTCTCTTTCCACCCTGGCTTTTTGACCTTCCTACCTCCCTCTCCTCATGTGCTTGTTGCTGTTTATCTTTTTTATATTCTCTAACATGAAAACTTTCTCTAAAAGGGATGGTTTTTAATACCCACACATAAATGGTCAATAAATGGCATGCTGTGATCATTATCAGGGTAACGCTTCGTAAATGTGTAAGCCCCATCAACACTGCAAATTTGATCTTCAACAAGTGTTGTATTGGGGCCGGCCCCGTGGCTTAGTGGTTAAGTGCGCGCGCTCCGCTGCTGGCGGCCCTGGTTCGGATCCCGGGCGCACACCTATGCACTGCTTCTCCGGCCATGCTGAGGCGGCGTCCCACATACAGCAACTAGAAGGATGTGCAACTATGACATACAACTATCTACTGGGGCTTTGGGGAGGAAAAAGGAGGAGGATTGGCAATAGATGTTAGCTCAGAGCCAGTGTTCCTCAGCAAAAAGAGGAGGATCAGCACGATGTTAGCTCAGGGCTGATCTTCTTCACACACACACAAAAAAAACAAGCATTGTATTATGATTCTGTTCCCAGTGGATGCTTAACATACACAAAAACCTCGATTACTGTATCTTCTCCACCTTTCTCATTATAATTGCCATTCATAAACAAATACCCAGGTGCAGGTGTTTATAGATCCATTTCACAGACAGGAAAGCTGAGGCCTAGGAAATGAGTGATATGGCTAAGGCACAGAACCGGGAGAAGGGCTCCGCTCTCCATCATCACAGTCGCCACGATCAATTTTAGAACATTTTTACCACTCCAGAAAACCCTTGCACCGTTAGCAGTCACTCCCCCTTTCTCCCTAACCCTTTATCCCCAGGCAACTACTAATGAGTCTTTTGTGTCTAGAGATCTGCCTATTCTGGACAGTTCATATAAATGGAATCATACAATATGTGACCTTTTATATGAGGCCTCTTTCACTTAGCAATGTTTTCAGAGATCACCCATGCTGTAGCATGTATCAGTACTTCATGTGTTTTTTGTGTGTGTGTGAGGAAGATCAGCCCTGAGCTAACATCCATGCTAATCCTCCTCTTTTTTTTGCTGAGGAAGACTGGCTCTGAGCTAACATCTATTGCCAATCCTCCTCCTTTTTTTTCCCCAAAGCCCCAGTAGATAGCTGTATGTCATAGCTGCACATCCTTCTAGTTGCTGTATGTGGGACGCGGCCTCAGCATGGCCAGAGAAGCGGTGCGTCGGTGCGTGCCCAGATCGGAACCCGGGCCGCCAGTAGCAGAGCGCGCGCACTTAACCGCTAAGCCATGGGGCTGGCCCCTTCATGTATTTTTATTGCTGAATAATATTCTATTGTATGGACATACTGCTTATTATCTATTCATTCATCGTTGAGGAACATTTAGGTTTTTTCTACTTTTTGGCATTTATGAATGACGCTGCTGTGAACATTTGCATACAAGTTTTTGTGTGGATGTATGTTTTCTTGGAAGCGAACTTTCTGAGCCAGGTGTCTAGCAGCGTTTTTGTAGCTTTCTGGATGCTCAGGCCTCTAAGCCGTTGAACTGCGGGAATGCTCCCCGACCTCCTGCTTGCCCTCCCTCCAGGGGACCCCAGCTGAATCCCGGGAGAAGAACCGGGAGTGCATCCTGCTCGATTTCTTTGATGACCATGACATCTGGCACTTCCTCTCTGCTACTGCCCTGTTCTTCTCATTCTTGGTAAGTTTACAATACCTGTTTGTTAATTTCTTCTCTCTTTACGTGCTGTACTCTCTTTTTTCTTTCCCCTCTTCTTTACATCCCCCTTGGTATTCCTCTCTAATTTCCCTTTCCAAGTCCTCATTGTCATTCAATGTACAGATTATCTTATTTCCTTTTTTATATTGTATCTTTCAGTTAGATCTTCATTTTCATTTTCTTTTTACTCTGCAGTATTTTAAGACACAGAGCAACACAATGACTTTCCTTCAGTTGCATCGTGTTTGGACTGAATTGGTTATGAGAACTCACGTGCCCAGAATGCCCCCAGGATCCACTTTTGGTGTTCACTACAATTTCCGTAACATTCTGTTATTCCTTCCTCCCCCTCTTCCAGTCTCACTGAATCTCTTACAAATATTTTACAAATTCTTGGAGTGGCTCAGGAAAGCAGCCAGGCCTCTCTTGCCTTCTAACCAGTCTCTTCCAAATCTCTCCTGTGGTCCCTCCATTTTTTTGCCCAAACACCTTCCCAGAAGCCATGCGTATTACACCAACCCTGGATGATAACTCCCAGCATCCTTTCATCTTAATTTGACTTTTCCAAATTAAAAGTCCTTGGTGCCTGTACACAGGTTCAATTGACAACACCCCTAGACCTCTTGGACTGCCCCATTTAGTTTCGGCCATATAACCTCAAGAGTGGAGCAGGGATACCCCCTAGTGGCTAGTTTGGGAAGTTTAACCAATCTGTATAACCATCATTCCTTTAAGGCTTTTACTTTTGCTAGTCACCTTCATTAGAGAGACGGGAACAACAAAAGTGGAGCTAAGGGTCCCACGTGGAGAGAAGGGTGGCAGGGGGAACTAAAAATGGAGGATGAGGGTCCATTTATTATAGTATCGCAATACTCTCTGCAACAAGACTTCATTCCCTTTAGGTCCTGACCCGAATGTCCCTTCTAAGTAATGACTTCTCTGGCCACCCTATCAAATTTGTTTACCTCTCCCCACTCCATACTTCCTATATTCTCCGCATAGTTTAATTTTTATCCTCAGTACACATTACTATCTAACATACTATACGTAGAACATGTTACTATCTTATATACTGTATTTTACTCCTGTATTTGCTTCATGTCGGAAGCCCTCTCTCGAATGTATGTTCCAGGAGGGTAGGGAATTTTGTCTCTTTCGTTCCAAGCTATGTCTCTAGCATCCAGAATAGGACATAATGGACCATTGATAAGTATTTGAATTAATTAATAAATGAACTATGTGATTATCATAAGTGCCTGTTTAGAGCACGGCATCGCAGAAAGCTGCAGAAGACAGAAAAACGCGTGAGGGCACTTGGAGTTTTCAGTCTGTGTGAGTCTTAAAGAAGTGGGGACTCACTGTGACTGTGCATTCTCTTCCTTTCTTTGCCCCTCTCATTTCAGGTTTTGTTAACCCTGGATGATGATCTGGATATGGTTCAGAGAGACAAGATCCGCGTCTTCTGAGCCTCCAGCATTAAGAGGGGTAGAGGGAGCGATTGATCTTGGTGCTGTTTCATGAAAAATACAGGGACTGCAGCAAAGTAACCACTGCCAAATGCTCCACTCACCCTCTATCGAGTCAACTTGGATACATTCACACACGGAGGAGAGAGGCAGGGGAGATTCAAACCCACAAGAAGGGGGGCCACGGCTGTGGACAGAGGTGAGCCCTGAAGAGTCGAGAAGTGCCATTCCATTCCGTTGCAACTCGGAGCTAGACACGGACAAAAGCTGCATCAGAGTCAACTCGCTGTCTTGGGACCCTTCCCACCCTCACAGAGCTTTGCCAGCAATGGCAGGATGATGCTGCCTTCTTCTCTCCAGCTGCCTCCATGCCCAGAAAGGCCAGCAGCTCGGATTCCTTCTCTCCCTCTAGAAACTTCGGGTTGGCCCCCTTTGCACCTCTGTTACATCTGCTGCTCTCGACATCCCAAAACACCAGCTCGCTCCTCCAGGGTCCTGGACCAACATGATTCCTCTGAGTCTAGCAGAGGAGTGGACCCAAGGCCCTTCCCAACTGGGACAGATGTTCTAGGAGCACCAGCTGGTCACCTCCTCAGAAGGAATGCTGTACGTTTCCCCCAGGTTCCTGACCACATTAGAAGGACTCACACTGGGCTATGTCACACGCTCCCCCTCACAGGTGACCGTCTCTGGGACAAAGGCTTGGGTGCTTCCCTCTTCCTTAGTGTCTTCATCTCACTGCTGTGTGTTGACTCCATCACTCAGGCTCTCCCTTCTTGGGAAGGCTGTTGCTCCCCGGACCAGCTCCAAGGTGGAAGGAGAAATGGGAAAACTCTTCCAGCAGCACGAGGAGCCAGAGACATGACTGACAGCACTCAGAGACTGGTGATACCAGCATTAAGCAAACAGGCCTCACTCTGAAGACGTGGACACCTGGAGCTAATTCAGCGAAGGAAAAGTGCTTTCCTCATGTCTCCAGTTCAAACAGCTCAGTTCTGTGCCCTCAGCACCTTTGGGGAAGAAATAGGTCTTCTAACCCGGGGCACTGCACCAGGGGTCCACCACCACGACCAAGCCCCTTATCTGTCACTGTATGCAGATCAAGGGCTCCAGACTTTCTCCCTGAAGTTCTTTAAAAGTAACTCTCAGGGTGAAACATTTTACTCCTCCTCTCTAGTTGCAGAGAGCACAGCTGATTCAGGATTGTCTCTTGTTTGCACCTGATTCCCATTCTCTCCCCAGGAAGGTGTTGAAAAGCTCCCACTTCACTCACACTGTCTGGCAGCTCTGCCCCCGGGGAGTCCCATTCTGACCACGCTCCCTTGTTACCTGGAGCATGATGTCATCAGAAAATATACACAAATATGCAAACATACATGTTTGCCTGTGAAATTCAAGTCATCTCTCACCTCTGCTTCCCTGGCCATTCTTCATTAGAGAAATGGATCAGGCACTCAGTTTTTTAAAAATTCATTATTCCGTCCCTAAAATGTTTGCATAATGTTCAAAAACACATTTTGGAAGTTTGAATAGCAAACTTTCCCTGATTTTAAAAACATGAAGATGCTTTTAATGAAATATTTTGTGACTTTTTTTCTAAAATTCCCCCAAATTTGTAATTGGTCTTCTGTTATTCTTTATTCCTTAAAAATTATTGGCTTCCATAGGCCATCAGAAGGCTACTTGTTAAATGGTTGTGTCAATCTGACATCTAAAACAAATTTCAAACCTGTTTTAACTATGGCTGATTTGACCTAATTCTTTTATTTTAATGTGCTAATGGTTTCAAATCCAAAAAAGATCCGCTAAGGAAATGTGATCCAAGTCTCTTCAAGTCGCCCTGTGGCCTGAAGTGAATAAACTATAAGACGTGTGACCTGTTGGGTAGCCAGTTTGGGAAATATGTCCGTGGAAACGGGGAGGGGCCCTGTGGAAATGGACGGATTGTGCTGCTGTGTTCTTGACTGTTTCCTGATAACGTCTGTCTTGTGCTATAAACTCACACATTGTGGTCAGTTTTGTTCTCTGCAGGACTGAAAACCCAGCCCAAGCCTGCTCTTATAAATATCAATTCTACATGTTCTTGTTGCTAATTCTTTCTACAGTGCTGATCTCGTGGCGGGAGGACACAAGAAAGCCATTCAACTGCATCCGTGGGGTTGATAGGAATGCAGGGTCGAGGGGCAACCAGTTTTTCATAGCTGGACGGTCCCTCGTCCATACGTAGTGTGATGCCTATGCGACCTGTGCCTGTGCTAGGCACTTCGCTCTTTAGGAGAAGGGACGGGTCACTCTGAAAGCTGAATTCAGCAGGAGGAGAACTAGACAGAAACAGCCCCTGTGAAGAGGAAGAGCAGGCACAGAGGAATGAGAGCAGCTCAGCTGGAGCAGGACAGAGATGCGGCAGCCAGAGGGGCAAAACTGTGCCCATAAAAAATGACCTCTTCACACCTCTGACGAGTGCTGGAGAGGCAACCCACCTGTTGAGGCTGGATGGTTGAGGGATTTGCCCAGTTTTATTTTAGCAGCAGGAGAAGCCAGTGGAAACCAGAGTCTATCTGGGGAAGGGACTTTCCATGACTGAAGGGATCACTGAGCCAGCTCCTGGAGCAGAGCAAGTGGCAGCTGCTTCCCTTGTAGCTCCAAGCAGCTACCAGAACGTTCTGTGGGGTCGCAAAATTCATGTGTCGGTAAATCAAATAATACCCAAATGTTTCTCATTCTGGGAGATAGTCTCTCCATGTAAAACTTGGGGGAAAGAGAGAAACAAAGATAAACATTCTTCATAGAAGAACAGTTGGGTCTCCGGATTCCTGAGTCAGACTTGAGTCCAAATATATTCACCTGCTCACTGTGTGACCTTGGGAAAGTCACTGGAACTCTCTGATCCTCACCTACCACATCTACATGACACTGCATGAGGGTGACAAAGGTGGCGATGTGCAAAGCACCAGGAGCAGAGCTGGCACGGAGAAGATCCTCGCCCCACACCTCTTGATCCCACAGGGTGGCAGGGCAAGGGCAGATCTCTCCACTGGGCGGGCATCTCTCTCCTCTAGGAGATCGCCATTGAAGCCAGCTGTTCTATTTCCTGTCCTCAGTCGCAGGAGGCTCTGAAGGGGTCGGGAGGCCTCTTCACCTTCAGAGATGCTATCCAGAGTTATCAAACCCTCCAGCCCCGGCCCCTCCTCGCCCCTGATGGCTGCATTTCACTGCCTGTGGCCATTAATACTTACTCCAACTCAGATGAAAAAGCGTTACTAAAGCTAAGGCCAAATGGAAAGTCTGGCTGTGTATAATGTCACCTCATTACTGCTGTCTCTGTCCTGGGAACCTCAAAGACAACCTAGATTTTTCTCCTCTCAAGCAGCCATTACTGCCCTGGTTCAGGGAAGGCCGTATGCCAGTGTCCCCCCACCTTCCCCGCCCTTCTCACCAGATGTTCTATAGGAAGAGCCTGCATGTTCAGCCTGGCTGAAGAGGGGCTTCAGCCTGTGGGGGACAAACAGATCCCAGAAAGAGGAAGCAGGGGAGGGTCCCTCAGGTTTTGAAATGACTCTAATGTCCCCTGGTGACACGGAGGAAAAGCATTATAAGTAAAGATACAATTTGCCTCTGCCTGAGCAATGTGAAACCCTGGCTTGTCATGCTTCTGCCCAGTTTATAGTAGTTTTTTTGTTTTGTTTTTAACACTGTTTCGTAGAGACAAGATGTACTTGTGTGACTAAGTTTTAATTAGAGCACCACTGTCAACAAGGTTAAGTGCCTGCTAAATCTTAGGCCTTAACACACATGAATTCAGAGAAGCTTGGCAAGAGTCAGAAGTCGGCCTTCACTGCAGAGTTTCTAAAAGGCCATCGTAATAGAGTTTCGCTTGGATGGGACTCCTCTGCAGAGACCCCACTCCATCAACTCCAAGGGGAAACCTTTTACATCCTACGGTTGTCCTGAAGTGTGGTCTCACTACTCTTCTTGAAATACAAAGAAAACTAAGTCGTTAGCATTGTTTACACAGAATTACCCTTTGCTCCCCCAAGCTTAGGAAATGGAGCTCTGCCCCTTTCCTAAATATCTCTAGATTAGGAGATTTCATCATTTTCCCTGAACTTTAAAGTTTTGACAAATTCCTTGGCTCTATCCTACGTCCTTTTCATTGCCTTGAAGTTCCTGTCATCTGAGACTTACCCATTTCGTTGGAGATGAATAATAGCCAGCCACCATATTTTAACATGGAATAGCCTTGAAGTCATATCACAATTCAGTCAAGTGCCAAATAAAGTCTGGGTGTCTGAAGTCTTGTCCCTGCATTACAGTTATGATTTAGAAAACAAGGGATTTATACAGTGAAAGATTCTCGAGTCAGGACAAGAAGAATCTGACACACAGTCCTACGATGGCCAACTCTTGGGCCCCTAATTTCCTCTAACTCCTGACATTCTTCATGAATTAGGGCTCTAAGTCTTTTAAACAGAAGATTATCCAAAATAATTCAAAAGGTCTCTATTTTAGGGTGCTATAACGTTGCTATCACAGAAAAAAGTTGATTTCTATTTTATGATTTTTATTATATTGCTTATCTGGGCCTTTCTAAGGCTCAGGACCCGGTTCTAGGCAGGCCCCTTCAAGGAAGAGGACAAAGTCAGCTCCGACGTTTACTCTGCTTCTTTCTCAACGTGGGACAGCTGGTAAAGTAACCTGCTTTTTAGGGGGTCCACTTCCCTTTTATCCTCTCCTCCTTCACCACTTCTCCGTTCACTTATGTAGAATCAGAAATACCGCTCAGTCAATAGTCAATCAACCAGCCTGGTGGCGCAGCAGTTAAGTGCGCGCGCTCCGCTGTGGCAGCCCGGGGTTCGCAGGTTCGGATCCCGGGCGCACACTGACACACCGCTTGTCAAGCCGTGCTGTGGCGGCGTCCCATATAAAGTGGAGGAAGATGGGCACGGATGTTAGCCTAGGGCAAGTCTTCCTCAGTAAAAAGAAGAGGATTGACATCAGATGTCAGCTCAGGGCTGATCTTCCTCACAAAATAAGTAAATAAAGTATCTAAAAAAAAAAGAAACATTTGAGCCAGGCGCTGTGGGGCGCTGGGCACACAGTCTCCTCCATCACGGAGCCTATGGTCCAAAAGGGAGGATGGACATGAAACAATTATAATTTGTTAATTATAAGTGGGCAAAGAGCTCCGAGAATGGCCTTACAAGAATCTTATTAGGTGCAGAACGAAGTCCAAATAATTATCATCAGTTTTTATCCCCAGCTGTGAAGCTCTAAATTACTGATACAACTTAGCGTGTCTCTCACAACCAAATTCCCAGAAAGAACATTGGGTAGGTCTGCAGGAGAGACCTGTTCAGGTGGTTCCCAGTTCTATCACACAATCAAACAACGAAATGAAATAATTAGAGGGGACCCTGCTCAGTATCAGAGAGGAAGGTGCTAGTTCTCAGGGTTGTGTGACTTTGAAGAAATAGGCTTATTGCTAAGATTGCTCCAGATATGTCTGAGAATTTCAAATTGACTTGCGAGTGCTAGAACAATGTAATAACTGGGTGGATCGAGCGTTAAGGAGAAGCAAAATTGAAATGAGTTAAGAATAAGAACTGTAAACCTGGAAGACCTAACGAGATTCAGCTGAAGGTCAGGTTCAAGCAGTGGTGTTTTCTGAAAGCCTAAGGGGAGGGGAATGGATGAGATTTCAGCCCTAAACATCCCTAAAAACTGTAAATGTGGAAGATGGCGTTAAACAGGAGGGTGAATCGAGACTTGATTGGGCCATGGAGGGGAAGGTAACTGCTTCTTTGAGTAACGAAGTTCAAGAG